CCAAATTTCGTTTGAAAGATTATATGTTTCCGCTATTCACAGAACTCCAAAAAAATTTTGCTTTTATAATAATCCGGGTACTGTTAAAAATATTACGCCTGAATATTGATGTGTCGCAATATATTTTCAAAAAAAAAGCGAAAAAAAAAAGAAGCGTGAGAAAAGTAAAAAATGGTATACAATGGTTTATTCAAAAAAGCATGTTTCAAACACAATTAATATCAAGTTTTTGGTCGAGATTTCAATGTGAGTGCAGTTGGAAGTTTCTAAAATAATGAATCTCAGGTCGGATGCCCAAAATGCCAATAAAATTATGATGAATTCGCAACTCCCAAAAAACCTGATTTTACAGTTTTAATCCAAATGTAAATAGGCAAAAATATACGAATATAAACGTAACACTTCGTATTTCAAGCACCGTGATACACAGAGAAGTCAAAAATTTTGGCGATTTTCTAATGTTTTTTTTGGTGCGTTTTGCCTATCTAAAAACTGTGTAAATTCCATAAAAATGGTTTAATATTTTGTTATAGGGCCAAATCGGATCAGTGAGCACAATAATTTATTGATTTTTCTGCAAAATAGTGTGTTCCATAAAACTAACAAACAAGCATTTTTTCTGCAATAGAATTGTTTTTCTTCTTCAACATGCGTTCACAATTCGATTTCCCGCAAAAATTCTAGGTAATTTTTAAAGAGCTGGCAACTGGAAAATGAAATGTGTCGAGCTCCGGCCAGTTTAAGGCAGATTTTTAGCCCACATTAGGCGAAATGCTGCTTTTGGTAAAAATCGGCAGTTTGTAAAGCTGGCGCCCAGGGAGCCCGGGGAGCCGGGCGCCCAAAGAGCTCAGGGAGCTTCCGGAAGTATATTAAAAGGGAATCTGTCAAAATCTCGAAATTCAGAATCTCGAAATTTCAGAATCTCGAATTTGCTGAATCTCGAATTTTTAGAATCTGGAAATTTCTATGGTTTAAATCAGCATTAACGGTTCCGGAAATTGCACGCCTGCGCCCTGAATCCAGCATAGGCACACTTCGAGATTCTCAAAATTCGAGATTCTCAAAACTCGAGGTTCTGAAAATTCGAGATTCTTATTCTAAAACTTTTATAACCCCATATTGCAAAACCTGACTCGGGCCGCCTGGGCTCCTTTGGCTCGAGCTGTGCTCGATGCTGTAAAAAATCTGTGCATCTTTCTTACGGTAATTTAGAAAAAAATGACAAAACGCGAAAGGAAAAACGAAATACAACTTTCGTTAGTTCCGTCAAATCCACGATATTGCCGTCTGAAAAAAAATGTTTCGATATCCGAATTTCCCAAATGAAATTCTCCAACTTCAATCCATTGCTTCAATCCCTTATTGAAATTTGAAAGTTTTTGAATTTTTGAAAAAATAGATTAAAGATAGATTCAAAATTCTCTAAAAAAGAAACTAAATTTTGTTTTATTTTTACCAAAAATTTATTTACTGATACTTATTTATCTTATTTTTTGATCAAATTTTTGTTTTACCAGTCTTCGAAATTTCTCTGAGGAATCAAATGTTTCAACAATTTTTAAAAAGCGCCAATTTTAAAAGGATTCTAATGGGGCGTAACAGTCGAGCTGTTTTAACGGAGAAAAAATAAAATAGCTAAAATCCATTTTTTGCAGCTCGTCTCGGTGATCATCACGTACGCCTTCCTACTGCTGAAGCTCAAGGAGAACCCCGATTTGAGCCCCAGAACCTTTCCCTATCACACGATCACCAATCACACGCTGGCTACGGTAGCCACTACAATGATGCCGTGATTACGGTTTACGGTAGAGTACGTACTTCGCCCCTTGCGGTCCAGAAATACCCGTCCCCGCAATTTACCGAAATACCTACAAATTTGCGAAACATAATCTTTAAAGTTCCGATTTTCCCGGGTTTTTCGGGTCTTCAGATTTTTTGGTTGCTTCAAAAATGACCAGTAATATTATTGTAAGTAACGTAAAACTTTTTACCAATTTAACAATATTTAAGTTGGAAAAACTTTCTAAAAACCTTCGCAAACTTTTAAAACGTCCCCATTTTTGCTACAAAAAACGAATGCACTTTCTCGCATCACCCTCCACAAATTTTTCCGGAAAGTATAGGTTTTCGAAACATCTTTTTTAAACCGGCGTTTCCGAGATTTTTTTTTTTGTACACGTCCATAATGTTTTTAATGTTATTTTCGTAGAATTACTAGTCAAATTAAAAAACTATCTTGAGAACTTTACAAAATTTTTAAAAAATCGACATTTTGGTCGGAAAATCGTGATGTTTTTGTATTTTTAATCATCTTTCGTCAAGTTTTACGTCCAGCAACATTAAAAAAATAGCTGCAAACCTTGCTCGCTTTATATGAGAAAAATTAGGTCTTAGTAACAGAATCAAATATTTGGATTTGGTCGAAGGGAAATCGATACGTTAGGCTTTTGCCAAAACCCGCATTATTTTGAAACACATGCAATTCGGTGATTTTGCATTCATTTTTAAAGACACATGCTGTTTTTAAAAGTTAAAAGTTTCTAGTTTACCCAAAAATTAATAAAATATCGTACCCTACCGTACCCCATATTTTCCATTTTTTTTCTGTATCGATCTTTTTCTTTCTCGGTTAAATACGGGCTGCTACATTAAATTTTAACAAATATATTACATATTTTGTGGTTTTTTTTATGATCTACAAAGCATTTCGGCGTGTCCTCATATTGTGATTTTTCTTTGCTATGAAAATGTACTGTAAAGTTAACGACACGATTTTTAAAAATTACCAGGGTTGAAAAGCCGCTTCGCGACCTTTCAACCCTGGCCCCGTCTGATCCGATGACATTCTGCCCTTTGCATAATTCTCACGAATTCCCTTGTCAAAAAAAAAGTCAAAGCCGTCCCTCTCTCGTATTATAGAGGCTACTTCCACTTCCGGTGTATGCTAATTGATTCCTAACAAAGAGGATCTCCGATTTTTCATGAAAAACTGAATTTTAATGTCGAAAACAGCTTATTTTCTAGAATCTGATATGTGTGCAGGCATCGCAGGGCCATTACGCACCTAATGACATATCAAACGTACCCAGCCCTTCTTCCCCTATCGAGATACGACTGGAACATAGGGACGGAAGTTGCATGCAAATGCACACACACACACAGACACTATTTTTTTTATATATAGTAGGATGATGTTTCCAGAATACTCCAGATTAGTCTATGATTTAGCTGGTCACTAATTTTTTTCATCGCTGTAGCAAAACCAATTTCTCCAAAAAATGAATGGTTCGAGGCGCAAAAACAGCTAAAAAATTAAATACAGTAACCAAAAGCAAAAATACAAGATTAATAAACTTCCTATGATTTAAGTGATTTAGCTTTTTCTTTTGTTTAGCCTTTTGTGGGTTTTTTTTTGATGTTTCAACAATTCTCAAATATCGCTTTGTAATTTTTTTGCCAATAACGAGAATCAGCCATACATCCTACCTTATATAATTTGGTCGCGTACAGGGTTGGTCATTCTGAGAGCCGGCTCTGAGCCGGAGCTGAGCGGGAGCAGGAGCCGAGCGGGAGCTAAAAATTTTCAGCTCCCGCTCAGCTCCAGCTCTTGAGCCGGCTCTTTTGGAAAAGAGCGGGAGCCGGACCCTGCTATACCCCACCGGATGCTGCAAATTAGTTATTTATGCAAATCTCCCAAAATTCCAATAAAACTGAATATTTTTGGCCTTGCATTGTCTTATTTGCATAGATATCTGATTTGCAGAATCCGGTTTGTGTTGAGCGGGGTTCGGCTCTCGCTCTTTTTCAAAAGAGCCGGCTCGAGAGCCGGAGCTGAGCGGGAGCTAAGGAATTTCAGCTCCCGCTCCCGCTCTTGAGCGGGGCTCGCATATCAGCTCCCGCTCCCAGCTCCCGCTCTTTTCGTGACCAACCCTGGTCGCGTATTTTTGTGTGTGTGTGTGTGTGTCCGGCGCCAGGGGGGGGGGCTACTTTGCATAATTCCAAAAAATACAAATTTCCTCATTCTTGCAAGTTGCGCTCGCGTGTGTGGTTGGTTGGGGGGGTCCAAAGGACCCAAGCTATCGGAAAGTGGAAATTTCTCATGCAAAGGCGCATTCCAGCGCCCAAGGCCTGCGAAGCGGGTTTTGGGCGCTGGTTTAAAATAATTTATTGCCCACTAAGAATTCGAAGTACAGTATGACAGAGAAATATGAATTATCGTGACTTTTAGAAATTGTTTTTGATGTTTCAACAATTTTCAAATATAAATTTGTTGATTTTCTTGCTAATGGGAAGTTCGAGCGCACAACATCAACATAATTTATTGCCCACCAAACTTCCTAGTAACAGTATGGAGCAAAAATATGAATGGTCGTGATTTTTAGATTTATTTTTTTGATGTTTCAAGAATTTCTGCGCATAAATTCAGAGTTTGCAATTGGTTCAATTGGTCTGTCATTTCTGATCTAATTAGAATAATTTATTGCCTAGTAAAAATTTTAACTGGAAGATGACAGAAAATACAGCATTTCACTTTAGTAAGAAATATGGAACTGGATGATGTTTTCTGCGTATTTTTTTGGATGTTTCATCAATTTCTAAAGATCATTTCGTTATTTGACTGCCAATGATTGCCTGGTCTTTCTTGAATTAAAATAATTTATTCCCAATTAAAAATTCCAGGTACAGTAAGACAGAAAATACAGTAATCCAAATTATTAGAAACATTCTGTAAATGCAAATCAGCTGAAAAAATTGTAGGAATTTCTAAAATACAAAGCTGAAAGGAGGATTAATAGAAAATCAATTACGATAGTTCTAAAAATCGCGTTTAAATGCTAATTTTAAAATGGCAAAAAATATGTGATTCGATGCGGGGATTGATACACGTATTAGGAATAGGGGCAGCAGAAAGCCATTTTTATGCAAAATTTTGTTTTTCATGAATTTTTATTTTGAAAAACATCAATTTTTGAAGTTTGAAGGTTAATTCTCGTAAATTAAAATCGGAACCTAGCTGATAAGAAGACGAAAATTAGCATATAGCTAAATCCGGAGAACTGGCTGGAATTCTCGGTCTTCGCGGCAACTTCCTTGGCTCGCTGCAGAGCTTCCTGAAAAATAGAAAAATCTTGGAAATTTAAGATTTTGATTTTCCCTGCTAGACAATTTTTCTAATATAAATATGTAAATATTGCCGATCGTATCCCCAAAATCTCTGCTTGTTTGCCATAAAATATCGGGCCGGCAGAAGGATTAAGATGTTTCACAAATCGTAGGCTTCTTCTGCCTTTTTTGCGCGTTAATAGCCATCCTTTAGGCGCCCGCCCCTTTCTATATTATTTTTATTTTGCGCTTTTCCCAAAAACTCACCGCTAGCTGGCCCTAAGAATGGGATGCCAATTTTTAAAAATCAAGACATTTTAGTGAAACTAAGGTAACTTTTAGTGTAACTTTTATTTTTGCACAAAAAATATGTTTCATCCATTTGTAAATTGCCAGATTTCTTGGTACTCATAATACGTAATAGCACCTTAATGGCTTATAAAATGAATCTTCTAACGATCTTTTAAAAGTTTTAGTATTAAAATTGCAAATATTTCTATCGATAGTGGTGTCAAGCATCCAAAAAAGCTATATTTTTCTAAAGTTCTTCTTCCCCTATCAAAAATCTCGCATCGGAGCAACGTGTTGCAAAAATGGGCAACTAGCCGATTTTCCTTGCGACACAATTCATGCCAGTTGCGATCGCTCGTATTTTCCTCAAATGCCCTCTGCCAGCCTGCCCGTGATTTATATAGTAATGCAGATTTAAGGTACATCTTAAACCAAAATTTTTTGAACTGAAAGATGTTTCAAAAATTGAAAATCATAAGAATCAAACCGATCACTTAATATACCTACGACTAGCCAACACAAGCTTTTCTTTTCCGAAATGACCTCTGCTAGCCTGCCCCGGGGGATTGTATGCTACCTCCAAACACCTTTAAAATGCCCAATCCTAACTAGGCATCCATCGAAAATCGATGTCCCACCCCCCGATAATGCAAAAGAACCGATTGCCGTTATCGTGCCCAGCTTGTAAAGGCGATAGTAAAAAGATGTTTCAGAGATTTTGGTATTTCGTTGCCATTTCTGCATTATAATACCGGGTCTTTGTTATTGTTTGTCCAAAATATAGGATGCTTTTTGGCCTTAAAAAGCAGCTCCTGAACGCCTAAATCCACCTCAAATTCCCAAATAATTCTTATGGGGTTTTTAAAATTATTTTATAAAAAAATTGTTTCTAAATTTGAAAATTCTAAAGCTGTACCCCTAGTTGGTCATTTTAATCCATTTTTGACGGAAAAAACCAAACTTTTGGAAATTTTTATTTTTTCAGTTTTTTATACGAAAAAATCATGTAAAATCCTATAAAAATGGTTTCTAATTCATTCCAGGGCCCGACGGAATTACGGGGCAAAATTTGGTCTCCCCCCGCTAAAAGTCTAGTACCAAAGTGCCGGACTGCAAGAAAATTAGATGTTTCACAGCGCGAATAACACCAAAAAATTATTGAAACTTTTAATATAGCAGGTTTAGGTTCAATATTCCATTATTCCCCAAATTGCCTCTGCTAGTTCGTATTTTTGAAACTACCAATTTTTTTTTGTAAATTTCTGCAAAAACATCCTCGAACTAACGGGTTTTTTTTTCATAACACGAGTAACATCAATATTTTTCGACCATATTTATTACTGGCTGGATCCGATCTCGAATAATCCATCGTATTTCCCCAAGTTTCCTCTGCTAGTTCGTAGTTTTTAAAACAGCTAGTTTTTTTTTTTGAAAATGCAATCCCGGAACTAATGATGTTTCATAGCTCGAGTAACATCAATATTTTTGAAACCTTCGATTATAATGGGCTCGGACAGTTCGATGTTCCATCTTATTTTCCCCAAATCGCCTCTGCTTGTTCGTGGTTTTTACTAGTTCGTAAAACAGCTAGTTTTTTTTATAAATTTTATCAAGAAACTAATTATGTTTCATAGCTCCAGCCACATCAATATTTTTTGAAACTTTCGATTTTAATGGGACTCGATCAGTTCGATATTCCATCGTATTTTCCCAATATCGCCACTGCTATTTCGTGTTTTTCAAAACTGCATTCCTCCAAAGTAATAATACAGCATCTAACTAATTATGTTTCGTAGCTCGAGTAAGATAAAAAAAATTTGAAACTCTTAATCTAGCTAGATTTGCATCGAATATTCAATCGTGTTTCCCCAAGTTTCCACTTCTCGTTCGTGGTTTTTAAACGACTAGTTTTTTTTTGTAAATTTAAGTACATCCAAGAACTAATTATGTTTCATAGCTCAAGCCACATCAATATTTTTTGAAACCTTCGATTATAATGGGTTGAACAGTTCGATATTCCATCTCATTTCCTCAATTTGCCTTTGCTAGTTCGTATTTTTCGAAAACTGCGTGATTTCCTTTCTGCATTCCTCCAAAACCTAACTATCCATCTAACTAATTATGTTTCGTAGCTCGAATAACAGCAAAAATTTTTTGAAACGTTTAATCTGGCTAGATTTGCATCGAATAATCCATCGTATTTCGCCAAATTTCCTCTGCTAGTTTGTAGTTTTTAAAACAGCTTGTTTTTTTGTAAATTTCGCAAAGTATATCCTCATAATAATTATGTTTAAAAGCTCAAGCCATATCAATATTTCTCTAAACTTCCAATCAGCTGTTGCATATCGACTATTCCAAACGTATTTTCCCCAAATTGCCTCTGCCAGCGTACCTCCTCCTCTTGCTGGGCCTTCTTCCGCTTTCCCTCTTCGGCTTTTTGAATGGCGGCCGCCTCGAGCTTCTCCTTTTCCTCCTTCTCCTCACGCTCTCGCTTCTTTTGCTTGGCATCTAAAAATTAAAAAGTTCAATCAATTTTTTTAGGAAAAATAATTAGTTTCGTAATATTAAATACCCTGTGATTAATTTTATAGTCAATAAGGGCGTAGTTAGATCATTTTCTCACTAAAAAAATTTTGGAGTATGAAATTAAAAAGTTTCAAATTTCTGCATTCTTCGGCAAAATCGACACCATTCAATTTGCTGCCGGAACTTGTCATTGAACTGACTACGAATTCTTAAATTTTCTGCTAAAAGTTATTTGACCAAAATGGATAAGATTATATCGGATTCAATAATTAAGTTATAGTAAATTATCTAAAATCTATCTAAAATTAAATTATATAAAACATTATATTTAATAAGTTCTTCCTGTAGAACCAAAAGGCTTCAAAAATTTTAAATTAAAATGTTGCACGTTTGTCAATAACTATAAAAATTTTTAGGTATAGTAATATAAACAACAGCAATACTTCCAAAAAATCACTAAAAATTCCAATATTTTCAGTTTTATTCCATTTTTGGTGAAATGCGATTTTAATTATTTTACCCATTTAAAGTACGCAACGATACCTTTATACGGCTCGTCGGCGGCGGCGGCTTCTTTCGCGGCGGCTGCCGCCCCTTCCGGATCGTCCGCGTCACTCTTTTTCTTGTTGGCGAAGCGCAGCTAAAAATTTAATAAAATTGTAAAAAAATTGAATTTTACTAATCTTACTAAAATTTTAAATTTTGTTTTGTCAACTAGCAGAGATTATTTAGGATCAGAATTATTAAAAAAAATTTAACTTAAACTCTAACCAATAACACGGCTAGTTTTTCCAGGTAGATAGCTTTTGTGCAAAATTATCGCGCCTTGTACCGAGTATTAAAAGATATTTCGAGTGAGAGTGCCATAGAATTGAAACATGATTCTGGCCGCCCAAATTTGTTCGCTTTTTTAATGGGCCCAGCAAGGCAAGGCTATGGATCGTTTTAATCGTACTCTAAAATTAGCCGGCAGATTTTGACACGGTTGATTCTTTTAAAAGATACCAAAGTCAAATTTATAAATAGTTCGTGATGCACGTGGCAAAAAACGAACAATTAAGAGCGTTTTAACGTAGACGTTTTTAACGTTTTTAGCGTTTTTACGTAATGTTTTTAACGTTTTTAACGTAACGTTTTTAACGCGTAGAGCGTTTTTAACAACTATTTTCTGATAGCGTTATGTAAGAATGAAACATTATCCCGGAAACGTGAATTTCGATGGCCATCAATTCCCTTTTTTTGGAGCGTTTCAAAACAAAGCGAATTAATCAAATAATTTTTTCTGAGACAATCTTTTAGGGATAAAACATTTTTTTCTTTATATTTTTGCCAGAAATAGCTAACCCGGTAGCATTGAGAATAGAGCTTTTCAAAGAGCTTGACTTAAAAATGAAAAGGGCCATGCAAGGCATGACTATGGATCGTTTTAATCAACTATCAAATTAGCTGGAGATTTTGATTCGGCTTATTCTCTTAAAATTTAATTCACTACTCCGCAGAAACCGCCCATTAAGAGCTAGTATTTTCTTAAGTGGCGTTATGTAATAATGAAACATTATCCCGGAAACGTGAATTTCGATGGCCATCAATTCCCGGAATTTTTTGACTCGTTTCAAAAGAAGCGAATTAACCAAATCTTTTTTTCTGAGATGATGTTTTAGGTGCAAAACAAATTTTTCTTCATTTTTTGGCCAGAAATAGCTAACGCAGTAACATTGAGATCAAATCTTTTCGAAGACCTTGGCTTAAAAATGAAACACGATTCCGCAAAATTTTGGTGTCGTGATCGATTACACAATGTAAATACGGGCGTACGCCTGCGTATCGCGCGGCGACAAAAACAATAAGCTTAAAAATAAAAACATACCTTCATCTCGTTAACCCATTCGGCCCTCCCGGACGACACTTGCTCCACGTTTTTCCCGAATTTCTCCGGGGGCGCCTGGCCGATTGCTGGAAATTAAAAGCGTTAAAAATCAGCTCAATTTCTAAAAAATGTAATTGAAGTGACTTGAAAAATCTTCAGTTTATATCGTCGAAATTGATAGAGTCGACGTTTAAGAATGTCGAAATTCACATGAAAAAATCGGTGAAAGATGAAACAACCATGCAAAAAATTGGCGACCATCCGGAATTTCGAAATATGTTAGCAAAGCGATCCTCCTCAACATTTTGTAAAGAACCCCTAAAATAAATGTTTTTCTATTTTAGGGGGGATTTTTGATTTTTTGGAAAATGAATTTGAACCACATATTGGTCAACAGCATCAACGTCAGTAGAACGGTACAACCAGGGCTATTTTTGAAAATTGTCGTAACACTTTTTTTAAAATTTTTTTTTGCGTTTTAAATGGCGAAAAATAATTAAAATATCGAACTGCAATTATTAACTACATTTAATAAAATTGATTTTGACCCACCAACATCACAATCCCGACCGCCGAACCCGTTCGGGCAATCGCAGAAATACAGCTGATGGGAGCGCGTCGTCCGGCACGTGCCGTTGTTTTGGCATGGATTCTGCTCGCAGGGGCCTGAATTGACATCGAATTTAATTTTAATTTAATCAAGCTAAATTTGAAGGTGAATACAGTAATATAACACCAATTCTCAGATATTTAAGCTAACGAATGCCATTCAATTTTTGACAATGATTAGGCCAAAGTAACCCTCGCATGATTAAAAACTGAAAAAATGTTGGTCTAGTGGAAACTCGATGAAACATAAAAAATACAACATAGACTTTAATTTGAATCTAGAGGATACTTATCATCTAAACGGTTAATACATGCAAAAATACTGTCATATGCCGTCTGCACCGGACACATTACAAATACTCAAATTTTTGCTTGCGGTAATTTCGATAAAATACAAAAAATTTTAAACTCTTCTTAATATTTTTTTTGATAATTTTAGGACCTGGCTTCATTTCTTAAATTTGGATTAGCTTCTAATAACAAATTATATACAAATAGAAAAATCATTTACAATTTTAGATACAATTTTTTCATTTCTGCTAGCTTATTCAGGCGACAAACATGGCAGGTATATCGCAAATTCTAGCCAAACATAATCTTTATTAAATATAAGAATTTTTGGGATTAACCATAAGTCGATGAAACATAAAGGCTCACAAGAGCCGTTTGCTTTTTCAAACACTTTATTCTAATTTCTTAAAAATCGGGTAAAACGGTAACTGATAAATTCAATGGATCGAGGCTAGCCAAAATGATTAATTATCATTTTTATGGTTTTTTACACATATAGATGAAACACCAGATTAGAAAAAAATACTTCTCATTTCTTGCTCAAATCACTTACCTTTTAGTGAGGTTAATACACTCATAAAAATAGCAAATAAACTTACGCTGATCACAGCTCGGGCCACCGAAGTCCCGTGCACAGTAGCACTCGTACGTGGTCGGCTGCCCTTTTTCTTTTTTGGCTTGGCAGGTGGCCCCATTTTGGCATGGGTTCGAGGAGCAGGGATCGAATTCTAAAACCTCGAATTCGTCTAAGAATCTCTGCTAGCCTGCCCCCTCCCCTCCTCTCTCTCATCCCAAATGATCTCTGCTAGCCTGCCCCCTCCCCCTCTCTCTCATCCCAAATGATCTCTGCTAGCCTGCCCCTCCCCCTCTCTCTCATCCCAAATGATCTCTGCTAGCCTGCCCCTCCCCCTCTCTCTCATCCCAAATGATCTCTGCTAGCCTGCCCCCCCCCCCTCTCTCTCATCCCAAATGATCTCTGCTAGCCTGCCCCCTCCCCCTCTCTCTCATCCCAAATGATCTCTGCTAGCCTGCCCCCCCCCCCTCTCTCTCATCCCAAATGATCTCTGCTAGCCTGCCCCCTCCCCCTCTCTCTCTCATCCCAAATGATCTCTGCTAGCCTGCCCCCTCCCCCTCTCTCTCATCCCAAATGATCTCTGCCAGCCTGCCCCCCTTACCAGCAGATTGTGTGCAATTCTTCCCAGTCCATCCCTTCAAACATCGACATTTATAATCATTTCTTCTCGGCGAGAAATGGCAGCTTGCGCCATTTTCACAAGGATTCGCCGTCTCGCAAATGTTCGAAGAGTTGGGTTCTGAAAACATGTTTCGAATTGGCACATTGAAGAAAAAGAATTTTTTGATGCTAATGGGTGTGCGTTTTGTCATGAAATCTTTAAAAATAGTATATCAATTTAGACCTCCTCATTTTAGAGGGTATCTATTAGCTCCTAGAAATTGCATTAAATTTTAATGTAAGAAAGCCAAACTTGCGGAAAACCACAGTAATATATTTAATAAATTTTATATTTGAGTGAATCTCGAAATAAAAAAAATGTTTCGGATATCCGAATGGAAGAAAGTGGGTTTTCGGCTCCAAGTCTCTCTCTCATTGCGGAGGAATTTTTGGCACCGAAGGGCCCTCAAATGATTATACCCCTCAGATGCTACCCTTTCTTGACAATAAATGAAACATAATTTTTATTCAAACTTTTTGCACCTCAAAAACTCACTAAAAACCGGCCCGACGACCTCCTTCATCTTCTTCTTCTCGCCCTTGTGCCAGGGTTTCGAGGCTAGAAATGGGTGTTTTGGAAAAAATTGCCATATAGGAATACAAAAAAAATGCAAACAATGTGTTTCGACCTTCCGGGTAGTTTAACGGAAAATACGTTGTGTAATTTCGGCAATGTTTCCTTCTTTGCTTGAAATGTTTGGAGGAATGAGAGAGAGAGAGAGAGAGAGAGAGAGAGACACAAAGAGAGAGAGAGACAGAGAGAGAGGGACAGAGAGAGAGAGAGCGAGAGCGAGAGAGAGAGAGCGAGAGAGAGAGAGAGAGAGAGAGAGAGAGAGAGAGAGAGAGAGAGAGAGAGAGAGAGCGAGAGAGAGAGACTGGCTACTTGAGAAGCTAAAAATTCTGTGTTGCAAAAAAATCCAGAAATCCGATTAGAATCAGATGGCAATGATCGATCAATCATCTGATGGCGAAAACTAACAAGGTTAACAATAAAATTGCTACAATCATCATCACATTAAAATTACAAGAATATAATCAAAATATACAAATTCCCATACCATCCTCCTTGGCCGGCCTCTCACACGTCATCAAGCAGCTCTGCTCATCCTCGAACAAATTCGTCCCATCCCCCTTGCAGCCGTCGTACCAAAATGCCGTGCATTCCTAAAACATGTAACAGTTGTTATAAATACTATTAAATATTGTAGATTTTTAAACACTATGATGAATGATGATGATGAAACAAAACGACTCAGTATTTTTTTTTAATTTTTTTTCATTTAACATCACCAAAAATGTCGATTTTTCAACGAGAAAAGCCAATTATTTACCAAAAATGCAACTAACATGTTTAAAAAGTTGTGCTGTATGTCTTTTTCAATTAAAAAATAATATAGTATTTTATTAAATCCTAGAAACTTGCTTTGATTAATTGGTTTAGCATTAAAGACCTTTGCCAACTGATAATCGCGTTTTTTAGGAAATTAAAGTTTCAAGGCTCTTAGGCTTTTTCTATTTGAAAATATGTAGTACTATACATTCCCCAATGAACTCGCCTTGTTAGCCCGGTCAAAGTACCACTGCTGTCGCCACCGTCCGCCCATACACGAGTCTTTATGCCTGGCGTCAAAATCCTCGAGGCACGATCCTGAAAAATTCGGTTTGTTTCGTCCACGGTGATCAAAAGTACCAAGAACAATACATCCTAATGTTGAGATGCAACACATTATTTTAATATCCTTGTTTTTACTTCGAATTCTCTCCCCCCCCGCTGAAAGTCCAGTACCGAACAATAGATAGGGAATTCATATATCAAAATTCCTTTCCTATACTTAGGCTTAAGCTTAGGCTTAGGCTTAGGCTTGGCTTAGGCTTGGCTTAGGCTTAGGCTTAGGCTTAGGCTTAGGCTTAGGCTTGGCTTAGGCTTGGCTTAGGCTTAGGCTTAGGCTTAGGCTTGGCTTAGGCTTGGCTTAGGCTTAGGCTTAGGCTTAGGCTTGGCTTAGGCTTGGCTTAGGCTTAGGCTTAGGGCTTGGGCTTGGCTTAGGCTTAGGCTTGGCAAGCTTGGGCTTAGGCTTAGGCTTGGCTTTAGGCTTAGGCTTGGGCTTAGGCTTAGGCTAGGCTTGGGGCTTAGGAAGCTAGGCTTAGGCTTAGGCTTAGGCTTAGGCTTAGGCTTAGGCTTAGGCTTGGCTTAGGCTTAGGCTTAGGCTTAGGCTTAGGCTTAGGCTTAGGCTTGGTTAGGCTTAGGCTTAGGCTTAGGCTTAGGATTGGCTTAGGCTTAGGCTTAGGCTTAGGCTTAGGCTTAGGCTTAGGCTTGGCTTAGGCTTGGCTTAGGCTTAGGCTTAGGCTTAGGCTTGGTTAGGCTTAGGCTTAGGCTTAGGCTTAGGCTTAGGCTTAGGCTTAGGCTTAGGCCTTTAAAAAGTGCCAAAAACGGATTTCCCCCGCGAAATTGTTCACAGGCCGAGAGACCAAGAAACTGGTATAATCGAACTTTGCTGATAGGGTTTCGGAGGCGAAACTTACTTTTTGAAATATTTTACGGTAATTTTAAATAGAAAGTTTTTGCTGAATTTCAAAATTTTTGCTATTAAATTACTCATTAATTTTTGAAAATGTAAACTTGGGTGGAATTTTCTGGCGTGATTTGAAGCCGAAATGGCGGGAAGTATTAAGATTAACGGTGGCGATTTTTGGTATATTTGAGACTCGAAACACATCCTTTCGAAGCGCTTCATATTTCCACAAATCGTCCCAGCTAGCCTGCCCGGGGTGCGTTTTTTCTAGAAACTTTCCGACGTCCTATTCAGGGTAATTTTATCAAGAAATACGTTGCAGAGAAATGGTAAAAAAATTCAATTCCATCGTCCTTTAAGCCTGAAACACTTTTTTGCTTGGAAGTTCGCAGGAATTTCCTTAATAGTAGCTGCTAGCCTGCCTTTAGAGAATAAGCTCCAAATTATCATTTTAAAGTGCCGTAAGACCATGAATTTTGTATCTGTTCGGATTTAACGGTATCAGTGTTTTTCGCCGGGTCTCGGCATCAAACACGCTTTTTTCTGTGGGTGTAAAAATATTTTTCCGGAAGAATCTCTGCTAGCCACCTCCTCAGTAACTTTTTCAAAAAAATGTTGATGCAAATGAGGTCGGAGGATTAGCGAAATAAAAATAATATTTCTATCATTTTGCGGCGAAACACGCTTTTTCATGCTTTTGTGCTCGTTTTTCCTGGAGCGTTGGAGCTTTTCGGTCTTTATGGTCGTGCACTAGATATTTTCCTCAAGGCCTCTCTGCTAGCCTGCCCCCCTTGCTATTTTTCGCCGAAATATTTCAAGAGGGGCCCTGGATAATTAGTGAAATCGGAAAGACAGTTTTAACATGTTAGCCCGAAACACGTTTTTTTATGAGTTCTGAATGCCGGCTAGCCACCATTACTTCTAAAAATCATTACTTCTAAAATTATCAATGTTTAGGGGCTAAAATATGGCCAGACGTGCCACAAAACTGACAATCCGACGTACCAAGTTTTAGAAGAAGTTTTTGGAAATATTGAGCTTAGAAGTTTAGAAGTTTTTTGGTAGAATATTGAACTGAACCAATTTTCTCAATACATCGCCTACGTGGCTAAATTATTGTAAGTTAAAGCAAATCATTTAATGTGTTGGTGCGAAACCCGTTTTTTCCGGCATTCGTAATGCTTGCCTCGAGAATCAACGCTGATCTTTCATAGCCTTTTCTTTCATAGTTTTCGAATAACGGCGCAATTTTTTTGGGTTTTTCCATGGGTTTCCTTACGTAAATGTCGGCATTACGATTTTCGCAATTTCCTGCACACTTCGACAATTAATCGTAACTATAAAGACACTGTTCCAACTCTCGGCGATTGTGCATTAAGGCCATTTCAAATATCGTAAATTTGCAATTCTTCGAAACATTTTTTTCTTGGCAATACTTGGTGGCTTAACTGTTATTATTGTTATTCTATTATTTTCGATGCATAAAAAGGCGATATTTTTTTTATAGACATTTAATAAATTCGCCGATTTTTTAGATTTTTTCAAAAAAATTTTGGGGCCCCCTAGGGGGTTATCTTGGGCCAAGATCTCGGGCATTCGAGAGGAGAGAGAGAGAGAGAGAGAGAGAGAGAGAGAGAGAGAGAGCTGCCTAGGTCCCATTAAAGGGCCCGATTTACGGGCCCGTTAAGCCCCACGCAGTCAGAATAACGGAAAAGCACAATAAAGGCGCTTCAACCCCCCGTGCCTTTTTACGATTTATGGGCTGCCTCCCCCGCTTCACTACTCGTTCCGCTCGAGTACCCCCTGACGGCCAGATGGCAGGCCGAGATTTTAAAGGAACCGGGAAGTAGCTAGCAGGCCCATTCCGCAAATGATCCCCGTTAGCCTGCCCATGCGCGTTAAATTAAGAAAATTAATGTTTTAGCGAAACGCCAAGGTATCTCTTGATTTAGCTAATGTATTGAAGCTTATTCCCAAATGCTCTCTGCTAGCCTGCCCTGACAAAGCAAAAAATTAAAATTACCGTAAAATAGGTTAATTTGACCACGTATGAAATTGGTGATTTATGCAAGAAACTGATTTTTTAAAGCTAGAAGAGCGAAAGAAGTTGAGATTAACTATCCCGGTAACCGTCTAAACACCGAAAAATTCGAAATTTTTTTTTGTCTGTGGAACTTTTTGATAGTCGCAAAATCGCAGATCCCAAACAAACGGCAAAATTAAAGTTAAACTATATTAGAAGTTAACTACGTTATCAGTATTAATAATTAAATAAAAATATGGCTTGATTTGAAATGATTTAAAGTCTAGATTTAATTTTTTACAGGAAAACGGACAAAGAAGGACGAATGGCCCCATTGAGTCGTCCGGTCCTTAGGCAAGAACACAAAAATTTGGAACACATAATTTTTGCAAAGCAAAATTTTCCTGTGGTTTTTTTTGGTAAGATTTGAACAGGCTGTAAGCTACGGGATAAAAATTCGATTGAAATCGACACGAACTTATTTACGCGATTTTTATTCTAGGGTAGACTTGACAATAGAAATTAGAAAAACTTATGATTGCCGGACACCTGCCCTAAAAGACACCTGCCCAAGCCTGCCCTAAAAGCACCTGTCCTAAAAGACACCTGCCCAGCCTGTCCTAAAGCCGCTGTCCTAAAAATCACCTGTCCTAAAATTTTTTTATACCGTATTGCACCCAATTATGGGCTTTGGAACGAAAATGTTAAAGGATAGATGAATTTTAGGACAGATGAAATGTCCTGAACGAAAGATATGACGAATTTTGGTGCAATACGGTATAAAAAAATTTTAGGACAGGTGATTTTTAGGACAGACGACTTTTAGGACAGGTGACTTTTAGGACAGCTGTCCTTTAGGACAGGTGACTTTTAGGACAGGTGACTTTTAGGGCAGGTGTCTTTTAGGGCAGGTGTCTTTTAGGGCAGGTGTCTTTTAGGACAGGTGTCTTTTAGGGTAGGTGTCTTTTAGGACAGGTGACTTTTAGGACAGGTGACTTTTAGGGCAGGTGTCTTTTAGGGCAGGTGTCTTTTAGGGCAGGTGTCTTTTAGGACAGGTGTCTTTTAGGGTAGGTGTCTTTTAGGACAGGTGTCTTTTAGGACAGGTGTCTTTTAGGGCAGGTGTCTTTAGGGTAGGTGTCTTTTTAGGACAGGTGTCTTTTTAGGGCAGGTGTCTTTTTAGGGCAGGTGTCTTTTAGGGCAGGTGTCTTTTAGGACAGGTGATTTTTAGGACAGGTGATTTTTAGGGCAGATGTCCGCCCACCAAAACTTATGCCTAAGATATTATAGCTTAGGAAAAATGACAAAATACGGAAAATTCTGAAACACTGATCTCGAATGCCGAATCTCGAAAAAATGGATAAAATCTCCAAAGGCTAAAAAAATCCTACTATATATAAAAAAATATTGTCTGTGTGTGTGCCACTTTGCATCCACTTCCGTCTGTCTGTCCGGAGGATATCTCAAGAAGGGACGGGTTTTAGGTTACGTATGATACGTCATTAGGTGCGTAATGGTCCAGGGATGACTGCACACATATCAGATTTTTAATAATTAGCCATTTTCGCTATTAAATTTAGGTTTTTGTAAAAACCTGTTTGTTAGGAATAATTAGCATTGACCGGAAGTGGGCGGTCGTCTATATAAAGAGGCAGAAAGGGTTGTTTTTCATTTTTTTTTGTCTTCTGAATAGAGGACAATTATGCAAAGGGCAGAATAGTATGGGTCCGAGACGGGGGCCAGGGTTGAAAAGTCGCGAAGCGGCTTTTCAACCCTGGTAGATATCTAAATGAGGAAATTAAAGTTTAGCTGTTCTTAGGTCTAGAAATTCAATAAATACTTTTTATTTAAAAACAATTTACAATCAGATGAAATTTTAAGCTTCGGATAATTTTGTGAATGAAAAAGTGGAAATTATTTCAGGTCGAGAAGAATAAGGCGATTAATGATGTTATCAGCCTCTTAGGCAATGACAAAAATCTGGAACACGTAATTTCCAAAACAGAAAATTACTCTGCGTCTTTTTCTCATGGTTTCAAATTGCAGCAGCTATTGAAAACGCGAAATACAACGTTTTTATTCATAATTAAAATTATTAGTAATAATAATTAAATTGGGAAAACCCAATATAAACGAGTGCAAAGGAACTGAATTAACTTGGCGCACCTTTTTGAAGCATCTCTAAAGGTCTGAAACACCTATATCCTTCCGAAAAACATTCGTTTGTCGTTTTCTAAATCCTAAAAAATATCCATGCAAAAGAGGCTGGATTTAAATCTATAAAGGATATATTAAAAATTTGGCCTTTTTAGTGGATTTTAAACTTTTATTGTTTGAATGGATTTTCAAAAGCACTTGGAAAAGGAACAAAAATTTATTTAAAAACTGAAAAGGAAAGATTTTTCAATGCAGATATACTTTGGCTTTCTTGTGAGTATTATTTTAAAAAACTATCAAATCCAAACATGAAATCAAACAATTCGAAAATTTAGCTCATTAAACCTTTATATCTCAAGAAAAATAGGGAATATGCTGAAACATTTATCACCAATCACAATCTTTTATTTTTATTTTCTTTATTAATTTTTATTTAAAATAATTATAATAAATGCTAACAAAAATTTTATGGGAAAATAGAAGAAAAGATAAATTGATGTAAAAAATCGTAGCTTTTTAGCGAGTAATTCCATAACCACTACAATTGATTGCCCTCGCCGGAATTCACGGGTTTAGATAAAATGATGAAACATTTTCTCCCATACTCGATTTTATTTAAGCAAGCTATTTTAATATACCTTATTTTCGACATTTAAAAAAAATTTACATTTAAGTACCTTACTAGCAATGGTAATCTTTTATTTTTGGTCCGGAAGGTGAAAGAACGCAACAAGCAGAAGTCCATTAACTGATTCACGGTTTCGGGAAATACCCAAATGAGCGAAACATATTTCTTTAATAAAATCGACAACTTCAGAAAACCCACTGGATTTATACATTGGCTGCGCTTCGCATAGCCACTGGCACGTCAGCATGTCCTCGAAAAGATTTCGGCTGAAAAATCAGATTTTTTATCAGAATTTTTCTAAAACTATGTTTTAGAAAAATTACCGATCAGATGACAATTTTAGTAATTTACTTTTATTAAACCCACTCGTATTTAAATGAAATTAAATCTATTTGTTTAGCAATAGGGATTTTCCCAACGTCCAAGCGATTCGGAGCTATTTTAATAGCAAGATGGCGGCAGGAAAACCGGATTTCACCGATTCCGATAGCCGCCTTGAGAAGATTTATGTTTCAGAAAAGTTGCTACTCAAGTCGGTAGTTTTAGTCGTAATTTTCGGACGATCTGGGTTTCAGAGAAATTACTTGGCACGGCGATCAGCCTAGCGTTAATTCGCCGTGCGGTTCAGAAAAACGCAATTTTAACCATCGTTTGCAGCACTTAAATGAATAGGGATTATAGCGATTTGCGCAAAACGGGATCGTTCGTATTTGATCGCTTTTAAAGAGGTACTACAGTAAGGCCGGGCCGATTTTACTTTTTTTCATATCAGTTTTGCAATGTTTTTGATGTTTCAGAAAAATTACTCCACAAGGCGTTGGTGCCGGCCACAATTAACCTCTGTTTCAGGAAACAACGTAAATTTCACCATCCGGCTAGTTTATTTTAGTAAATTTAGGGAATTAGATTGACTTTTGCCAATAGTAAATCGAATTCGACCGCTTTTAAGGGAGCGACGACAAAGGCTGAATCGAATTTAGCGATGTTTAAGAACCGTTTCCCAAAACTATGTTTCAGAAAAATTACTCGACTCGGCGATTTTTCTAACCACAATATGTCTTTTTTGATCAATTTGCCCATCTGGCCATTTCATCTAATTCAAAAAAATTTTTATTCTTTTTTGGCGATAATTAATCGTATTATACCACTATTAAAGTGGCACTACGGTAAGACGGAGCCGATTGCATTGATTTTTAGGAACGGTTTTTTTGAAAAAATGTTTTCGAAAAATCACCCTTCAGCGTGATAATTTTATTCAGAATTCTGCTGTTTTCGAAACGTTTCTTGACATTTGTGTTTGGCTTTTCGGGATTGGCTTTCCAGCCGTGTGTCCAGGGGCGTAGCCAGATAAAATTTCCGGGGGGGCGGCCCAGGGGGCCCACCTTACGCTACGTCCCTGCCTGTGTCCGGTGCAAGGATAATTTAATAGTTAATAATTAATGCCTGATCTTGGGAAATAAAATGTTTCAAATTGTTTCAGACAAAAGTCTCAATGGGTTTTTTTGATAACGTAAAATAACGACGCAAGAATCTGTCCAAAAAAATTCTCAAAAAAGTTCTTCTAATTCTTTAACTTTTAGAATTTATAAAACTCATGTTGCAACGATTCGAAAAATCTGAGTCGAATTAAAAAATTTCCCAGTTCGAATCTTTCAAAAAATTCATTTTTTTTTGCTTCGATGACTGATCAAATGTTTCAAAAATACAGAAAAATTGAGGGATTACGGATATTATAATCCGGATAAGAATTTGAATAGTAAAGAATGGTTTTTTTATTTAAAACGACTCAAAAACACCAACCTGTCCGAGCGACATCCATCAAACCAAAACTGGCGGCACGTAAGCGAGGCGTGGTCAAAGTAGAACCGCGGCTCCCACCGGCCTACAAATTTACATATAAAATCTAGGGCTTTTTCCCGGTATATTTTAAAGTCTCGATCTTTTAAAAATATTAAAAAAGCTTTAAATCCCTGATAGATGACCGAAAAACCAAAAAAAATGTTTCAAGTATTTATGAACCAAATTTGACTACAAAAACAACAATTACTGCTTCTTTATCGTTCATTTCCAAAACGCTTGAATCCAACAAAACTAATTCGTATTGCGGGTTTTTTGTATTTTTGATACTTATCGAATTTTTCTTAGTTATTAACATAGTATGCAAATTAATTTTTTTGCCAAATTTATCTAACGAAATCGTGGGCTTGAATTTATCAACAACATTTCAAAAATTTAATTTTTAACATTTTATGAAACAATCAATTTTTTCAAAAATTTTTATTTTTTAGCTTTTTCTAAAACATCAAAATTTCACCCACCTGCCATACACTGATTCCGGTAGTTCATGTCGAATTTGTCCCAGCAGATCTCTGAAAATGAGGCGTGGGCCAGTCGGAATAAAAGGAAGAGGCTGACGGCCAGCCGTTGCTTGGTGTAGTTTGTAGCCCGTCGCGTATTAATCGTATTTTTGCGGTAATAATTTAATAGTAGAATCGGTATTAAAGGGATGGCGACAAGCCCCCCGAGCATTTCTCGCTTAACGGCCCCATCCAGGTGGCGGGGCAACCGTCATTTGGAAGGGAGGAGTGTACGGTAGCTGGGGGTGTACGGTAGCGGAGTGCTGCGGAATTTGCGAGGCCGTGCGTCTGAATGCTACAAAGTTTTCTTTAGATTTAAATAATTGACAATTAAAAATTAAAAATGAGGAGCTTTCGCATTATCGGGGGGGGGGGGAGGCGGAACCCGACTGTTTCCTTTTTGCCCTTTTTATATTTTGTAATGCATTTCGAGGAACGTTATTAAACTGTTTTTTTTTGGTATTTCTAAACGTAAAAACTGTACCAATTTTTATGAGAATCAAAATACAAAAATAACGATTTTTCGATCGAAATTTCGAATTTTTCAGTTTTTAAGATAGTTTTTCCGCATGAAATATCGCTAAATTGAACATTAAAAACTAACATTAAAAAATGTATTGCTGCTACTTAAAATTTTCTGGAAGTAGAAAATTCCCCCCCCGATAACGCAAAAGCACCGAAAATTACACAACGGCCAAATCAGCAAACTGAGGTAAACAAGCAGAGATTCTTAGAGGAATGCAGTGAGAGAGGGCAGCGAATGGCGAGGCCGGCTAGCAGAGATTCTTTGAGAAAAACGAGCTTGCTGATTTTGTTGGTTTTGGGGGATCTGGGAAAGTTGGGGGTGGAGGCCGTCGTGCTTTTTTGGTGGATGAAGGGGGCGTGGCTTCGGCTAGGCCATATTGGAAGAGAGAGAGAGAGAGCGAGATAGAGACCGAGCGAGAGAGAGAGAGACCCATCGGAAAACAGAATAATTAGTCGGTCTCGCTTCAGAAAATTCAACGTTTGATAAAATCAGCTCCAAAACGTCGGGCTGAGATCATTAATGGGCTCGTGCAGGCGGCGGTAAAAAATGGCTAAACTGGTAAAAAAAGGATGTTTTATGGAAAATCAATAAAACGTTTTGATCGGGTTTTATTCAAAACCGCCCATTCGAGATCAATGTTTCGTAACTTTTCCATACTTGGTTCAGAATTGGGCGGTGCCGAACCACACTTTCATCCCATAATTATAAACATATCAAAAACAAAATCGTGTTTTATCACCTGAGGAATAGGCTTTGGATTTACGTATCATTTGTATCATCATTACAACCTTAATCTAATTTTTGCGTGTTCCCCAGCCAGTTCAAGTTCAAGGGGAAGCTTGATAAAAGAGAGAGAGAGAGAGAGACGGCGAGAGAGATTGATCGAAAAATCAAGAATATCAAAGTCGACATCGCTTCAGAAAATTCAACGTTTCATGAAATGAGCTCCAAAAAATGTTCCCTAAATCATTAATGGGCTGAGCGGAGGACTTGGTAAAAACTCGTTAAACGGGTAAAAAGTATGCTTGATGGCAAATCAATAAAAAGTTTCGCTGCCGGGTTCTGTTCGCCAACGTCCAGCCGAAATCAATGTTTCGTTACTTTTCCATACTTGGGTCAGAACTCGGCGGTTAATACAAAGTCTTGTTGGTGGTTCGATAATTCTAAAAATTTCATAACAAGAAGAAGTGCAGTTGGGCCTTATTTTTTTTTATTTTTGTGTTTCTGGCTAGATTCGGCAGGCGGTAAAGCTCCCTAGATTTTGCGCAAATTTCATGCAGAAATCCATCAAAAACAATTCAATCTTTCACCAAAAATTAATGGGTCCTCCGTGTTTTTTGGTAATAGCACCGATTTGCCAATGCCCGTAAATAAATGCTTGCCGTTAATTTCTTTGGAGTTTAAATAATGCAAAAACCCGCTTTTCAAGAGCTTCGGGTCGGAAAACGACGAAGACGAGAATCGGAAAAAATGTTTCATCGTTTGCCAATAATCTTGTCCCACAGCCTTTCAGTAATACATTGGTGCAATGGCAGTTATGCTTATGAGAATTGCTATACGATAATCATTTCTAAAATTTATAGCACTTGTTGCTTTTTTGGGTGATTTTCACGTCAATTTTATACAAAAAAATGCTTTCGAAAAAATTCTGTGTTTCAAAGAAATGCACTAGTCGGCGCAGGAATTTATTATTAGTAACTTTAGGACTGGTGGTTCGAGCATATCATTGCGAAAAACGCACAGGAGTAGAGACAGAGAGAGAGGGAGAGAGAGAGACAGAGAGAGAGAGAGGGGGGGGGGGAGAGAGCCAAGTTATCCAACGAAACTCCAAAATCCGGGGCACCCCCCTCAAAATGGGTCCACCACCAACTCGGGGGGCGGCGGGGGGACCCGCCGCCTAAAGCGCTAAAGAAATGGAGAATCAATGGGCGGGGGGAGCAAAAAGGCAAGGAGACGAACTCCCCGGGGAATTCCCCCTCCCCCTCACAACCAACATCCACCACACAACCACACACCCAACAAAAATCGCCCCGCAATTTTGGGGGCCCTCCGGCCCCCCAAAATTCGAAATGTGCGTCTGAAAAGTACCGATTGGGGGCCAAAAGAAGGGAAAAGTAGGGGTTTTCGTGGGAAATTCCTCAAAGAATCTCTGCTGGCCTGCCCCCCCCCCTCTCGCATCCCAAATGATCTCTGCTAGCCTGCCCCCTCCCCCTCTCTCTCATCCCAAATGATCTCTGCTAGCCTGCCCCCTCCCCCTCTCTCTCATCCCAAATGATTATTAAGAGTGGGTGCTATAAAATGAAGTGTTTCGGGTCCTATGCTAAAAGTTAGGATTTGAAAGAAGCTTATTCTGTGCTGGTTCTTATTCGCGTCAAATTGATGTTTCAGGCAAAATCGAGTAAGATCTCAGAAAATCCGACCCAGTTTTTTTTGGATTAAAAAGGTTAATTTTGGATCTAATGGGTGGAAATAGAGACGAAAATGGAATGGAAAGAACAGATATAGACAGAGAGAGAGAGAGAGAGAGAGCGTGAGAGAGAGAGCGTGAGAGAGAGACAAAACGAAAAATTGCTCGAAAAAGATGTCGCGCAGTGGCCATGGATGATGGATTTGGTACCAGCGGCAGACATATCACCTCAAGGGGTGAAGGAGGAGCCGGAAGGAGGGCCCATAAACAACCCTCCAAACACTCAGATACACATACACTTCACAGGGCAATATTTTAAAGGGAGAGTGACAGAAGTGTCTTCTCAAGTGCTCTCTTGTACTTATATCTCTATTAATTACATCGGATATTTCGTCCCCACAGAAATCCGCGAAACATGCATTTGATGCGTATTTTTTACGAATGGGTTCTGACTATTCATATTTTGAGGTGATTCTGGAGGAGAGAGGTAGTGAAGGTGAGAGATAGAGGGGGAGAGACAGCGAGAGAGAGTGAGAGAGACCGAGAGTGACACTGATCGAAAAATATCGGATAATTAGTCGTTTTCGCTCCAGAAAATCCATCGTTTCATAAAATCATCCCCACAAGTGGTCCCGCAGATCCTTAATAGGGTCGTTCGTGATCAGCGAAAAACAAAAAAATCCATGTTGGATGGTTTTATGCATGAAGGCCGGCCAGAAATTCGAGAATCCGCGACCGCGGCCGGAGTCGAACCAGTTTTGTGCATTTTTTAGGCTATTGTCATGAGGTTTGAAATTCCGTGGTTTTTAAAGCATTTTTTTTGAAACTCTACAAAATACGATGGCAAGAGCAGGAGTAGTGCAAATATAAGGCAGTGCTAATACATAACTTCGTGAAACATGCTATTGGTACCACGTGTTTTAGTCAAAATTCCGACAGCCATAATAGCCACAGTCAAAATACCGACAGGACAAAATCCCGACAGGCATAATACCGACAGCTAAAATATTGTGAGGCAAAGATATCGACAGCTAAAATCCTGCCAGGCCAAAATACCGACAAACAGAAAACCGACAGCTAGAATACCGACGGCCATAACACCGAAAGTTAGGCTGCCGACTGCCAGAATCCCGATGTTTCGAGACCGTTTGAATACCGCCAACTTTCTGAACCGCTAGCCATTTTACATTTCGAAATTCTGGGCTGTCGGGATTTGATTTCTATATTTCGGAAGGTGTATATACCCTTTTTTGATTGTATTTTTTGCACAAAAATTGAAAAATTGGATGCACTGCAAGGGAACAAAACGGACAATTTTAAAATAAAACCCGTTCCCCCCTTTTGGAGAAAAAAGGGAAAGGGGAGAGACGCGGAGAAAATATTTGCTCCCCCCCCTACCCCCCTCCCCCCCCCCCCCCCGGTGTGCTGTGTTTTGTTGTGGGAGAAGGGAAAAATTCCAGAATTGCCCAAAGATTCGGCAAGTAATTTGCTTGAAACATCAAAATCTTTGGATGAATTCGGATGAGTTTTGGATTTTCGGGAATTGAACTGAGCTATATTCAAGATTTTAGAGGTGTTTAAAAACCATGATTTAAATACAAAAGTTTGTAATGTAAGGAAATGCGAAGGAAGAAGAATGTGTTAGGTTTTTATCGAGATCACGCGCCCAGACACTCAAGCATTATTCGGTCTTTTTGCCTCAGATTATTGTGAAAATTTGGCAAATTTCAGGAACTAAAATTTAGAAATTCCGCAGACGATTAAATGAATACATTTGTAACATCTATTTTTTGGAGGCAAAACAAGCTAAAAAATTAATAAATTTTGCCTGGCGCATAACTGTATTATTTCATTTTTAATAGATACTTTCGCGAATAAAAATCAAGGCATCAAAAATTAAAAGAATTGTACCTGCCCGCGTGAGCACCGACGTTTCCTCACACATGCCCTCACAAGTGCGAAGCGTCGAAAAAATGTTCCGCGACCGCCCGGGGCACCCGTCATACCAGAAAAGAGCGCATCTGAACGTGTACCCCATTTTAAAACGCTATATATTTAATTTTAAGCAATGATAATCATTTTTGATGTGTTAAAAGCCAGGATCTTAAACCAATAGCTTCAATTGGCCGTAGAAAAAAATAAGTTTTATTTTTAAAACGCGAGATAGTTTTATTATTAACGGCTATTGCGCGGCCACCATTTTGGTCATTATCATCTCAGATTTTGTAGGAATCTAAGCGCTAAATAAACTAGAAATATGAAGCGCAAGAAACAGATTTTAAAATTTTTAACATCACAACATCCGAGAGATTAAATTAAAAAGTTTCGGTTAAATTCAATATTGCCGTTCTTTTTACTTCATCAATCGTTCTAGGGGTTCTGCCATTCACTTAATGAATTAGTTAACAACAGCTTATATTTATTAAGATTATGGTGGTTATATTTAATATATATGTTTAGGGCGGTAATACTTGTGTAATAAAAGATTTAAAATTGCATAAAAATACTTGAAAAATTGTATAAAAAATGGTCAGAGCAGTATTCTCGATAGCATATATTTTTAGTTTATACAAAATAATAATGTCTCTTTTTCATATTTAAATCCTGAATAGCGTCGTAGAAAAAGTAAGTTTCATCTTTAAAATGTTCGTTTTTGTGTTATTAATGGCTATTATGTTGTTTAAATGTGCGTAATTCTCATCTCAGTTTTTGTAGGAATCGAAAATCTTAAAAATGAATAAACATAAAAACACAAAAGTATGTTTTAAATTTTTTTAATTTTAAATAGAAAAAATTTACCTCTTTGATTTGTGATCAAAATAGTAGTGTTGGCGCCAGCTCTCGGCGCCGCACGTGTCCTCGTAGGAGCGGTCGAATTTATCCAGGCACGAATCTGTAAAGATGTAATTAAATTTCTTTTATCAATTTTTAGTCACTTAAAGCTAATTCATTTTTGTTTGTTGAATTATTTTCCTGAATACTATGTACTCACGCAAACACAAAAAGATTTTTATGAAGCTACACCCTGCGAGAGATTACATTTTTGAGCCGTCGCAGATCGCGTTCAAAAACTGAAACACTCACTTTTCTCCTTCGTACAATTGTAGCCATTGCCCGCCCACCCCTCCAGGCATTCACACACATAACTCCCCTCCGTATTCCGGCATTCCGCATTTTTGTCGCAGACATATGGGGCACGAAGGCATTCGTTCACGTCTGTAATTGGGCCAGGCTAGCAGGGATTCTTTGAGGAAAGAAGGACCCAAGGCCACAGATACTACATTAGCAGGAATTGCCCAAAAGTGCTCCAATTTTTTGCTGAAACATTTTTTTCAGCTATGTCTGTGTGGCGTAAAATGGGGCCCGATTAGTTCTTGGGTAGGCTAGCAGAGGTTATTTGTGGAATGCAGAGAGAGAAATAGAGAGGGGCAGGCTAGCATAGATCATTTGGAATGAGAGAGAGGGGGAGGGGGCAGGCTAGCAGAGATCATTTGGGATGAGAGAGAGGGGGAGGGGGCAGGCTAGCAGAGATCATTTGGGATGAGAGAGAGGGGGAGGGGGCAGGCTAGCAGAGATCATTTGGGATGAGAGAGAGGGGGAGGGGGCAGGCCCGCAGAGATCATTTGAGGAATTGGGCAAATCTAAATTACCTGTGCAATTAAATCCATCGCCTCTGAATCCCTGTTTGCATTGGCAGACTCCAGAAGTACACGTAGCATTTGTGGAGCAATCAGCACAGTCCAGTGTCGAGCGACCTATTTAAAGCATATAAAAAACATTAAATCCGATGGTAATACCAATGATAATAGGCCCCCTAACAATAATAAATTACTTGGGAAAATTTGATGTTTCACGAAAACGCCAACTTTTGAAAACTTGCGCAACAGTACCATTTGGTGGTGTTAGTCTTTTTTGAAAGGATCGACAATTTTACGGTTAAATAAACTTTAAACTATTGTAAGGGTATTTTACATGACCAATTTTATCGTAGCTAAGTTCTATGATTTAATAGGAAAAACTTACCCAGCCCAACATAGGTACACGTTTTCCCGTCACCACGATAAGCCGCCATGCATTCGCACTGAAAAAATTATACTTCTTTTCGGTTTTCGATTAATTAAAAAATTACAAAAAAAATTTACGGTATGGGAAAAATTACACCTTATTAGTTTATAACAGTTTTTGCTATTTAAGCAGAAAAACCCGATGATTTTCAATAATAAATCAGTAAATCAGTAATAAAATTGTAACATTTTTTATTACCCGACCTATACGAAACATTTTTTTATTCTCTCCCATTTCCTATTTTAATAATTCTCTGTTCTACCTGATAGTCCCCAATTCGATTCGTGCACCACGCATTTTTGTCGCACGTGGCCGTGTACCCTCGGCACTCGTCGATGTCTGCAAAAAATATTATTAAAAATTATATAAGGTTCCCGGCCTGTTTTAAATTTAATGTTTCATAAAAAAAACGAATTCAATCTGTTATCTTGTTCGCAATCCGCTATAAGCAGGTTTTTGGATTTCTGGCAAAACTAAGAATCATCGATATCTGCAAAAATATTATTAAAAATAAAAGACAGGCTTGTTTAAAATTCAAGGTTTCATGCAGAAAGCATATATTGTACAAATAAGATGTTGGCGGAATTCCCTTTGGAAATTATCAGGTGATCAAAATGCTAGCTTAATCTTAGAAATGCCAGAGATAAAAAAAGATGTTTCGTATAGGTGGCGTCACAAAATTTTTTGCAATTGCGTAGTGCGTGCTTGTGCGTGAATCGGAATTCCACGAAAATCCTATTTGTACGAAAGCATATTTCTTTGATCTCTAGCTTTCAATTTCGTCGTTAAATTAATCATGTTTCACAAAAAACCCGTTAAAATGACAGTTCTATATCTTTAATTTTGGAGAACTTACAGACGAAAAAATAAAAATGAATGTTTTACCAATGAATAGGAAATAAACAGAAACTTGATCCCGTAATTTCGTGCCTTTCCGAAATTCTTTACTCACCAACACATTCCCCGTGCATATTCTTGTCGTATCCGATGCGGCACTCGCACGTGTAGTTGTATTTCCCGTGGCTTTTACAGTAGGACGTGCGCAGGTCACAGTCATTACAGGCTGAAAAAATAGATTAAAAAACGAAAATAACGAACTAAGAAATTTTTCACCAAATTTTCCGGCTAGTAACTTCCGGAATTAAAAAAAAATAGGTTTCGCGTGAAATCATCTACTGGCTATTTATCCAAATCTTATTCATGCAGCGTTTAGAATTATATACATCTTAATCATTTTAAAAGGATTTATAGATATATTTTTTGTGTATTTTCTGGGTTCTCAAGCCAAGCAGAAAGCACAAAAATTAATGACGAAAAGAATGCAGGAAATCTGTTTCATCGAGAGGAGGATAAACGTGGGTATAAATTTTTTTAATGCGATCGGAAGGACCTGGAAACCGTGATATCGACTTAATTATACGATTTTCTGTCCCTAATATTCTCTGCTCGCTTGCCTTAGCTGGTAATCGATAAATGAACTGAAAAGCGCCGTGTTTCAAATTTTCTCAGATTTAACGTAAAGTCCTAGTTATTAATAGGGCGTTGATCGGAGACTTTTTCGTTACAAATTTGTCGCAATTTAGCGTAAGTTCCTGCTGATTAGTTTCTCTTGTTGTGTTGTCCTGTTGTGTGTCAATTTTTAAATTTTGGGTAAGAGTTTCCTTGACCTCCCCCACAGCCGAAGCGTCTCAAAGTTTTCGGGATTTTCGCTATTTTTCGCGGGATTTTTGCAACGCCATTCGATAGAGCGTCGAAAAATATACGCAGAGTTTTAATTTGGGCTTACAATAATGTAAGATAAACAAGTTATATCCAAAACATTCCGGTTGGGGGGGGTAAAGTAACCCGTAGCTGCCTTAATAGCACCCAAAAATCAATTTAAAAATAACCAGGGTTGAAAAGCCGCTTCGCGACTTTTCAACCTGGCCCCGTCTGGGCCCAATGAGATTGTAAACTTTGCATAATTCCGCCTCAATCAACTGAGAAAAATGAAAACTCTCGTGCCAGCCCTTTATATAGGCTTTTTCTACTTCCGGCATATGCTAATTCGTTCCTAACAAAGAGCTTGGTCGAAAACTTAACAAAAACCCTAATTTTAATGTCGAAAATAGCTTATTTTTATGATTCTAATAGGTGTGCAGTCATCTCAGGGCCATTGCGCACCTAACGACGTATCGTACACGCCCTAAAACCCCGTCCTTATTGAGTTATCCTCCGGACATACTGACGGAACTGTATGCAAAGTGTCACACACACACATACACTATTTTTTTATATATAGTAGGATGTTTCGAATTGTTCCAAATATAGCGCCAATTTCTTGGCAATAATTCCTGGACCAACGACTGTTAATTGGTAGTTATGTAAAGCCCGCAATAAACTCATATACAAAAATTGCTAAAAATGAAAAAGATATGTCACAATCTGGCGGAACATCCCAAAAAATGCTGTCTTTCCCGAATATTCTCTGCTCGCTTGGCTTTTCTGGGACCCGAGAAATGAACTCAAAAACCATGTTTCAAATTTTTCTGAATTTGGAGCCAATTTTTGGCGACGTGCTATCACTTTGCTAGATCTTGGATATCCGTTTGAAACCCTGGCAAACGTGATTTAAAAAATTTGCTAGCATTAAATGTTTTATGTCGTCATAGTAAATCATCATAGTAAAAAAACAAAACATAGAAAAAGGCGTCAAAATAATTATTTTCTCTCCTTTATCCTTTTCTTGCCCTAATATTCTCGGCTTCCTAGAAAAAAAATAATGTTTCGATTTTTTCCAAATAAGGCCCCAATTTCTCGGCAATAATTCCTTTAGGCGGCGTAACAATTATTGGTAGTTATTGAAACTCCCCAAAATGTCTAAACACATTTAACTTATTGATTTAAATTCTCGAATACTAAAAATATGTTTCATGTTACGGTAACAGCACAGGCGTGAAAAATAATTTAATCGGCCTGTTGCAGCCCCCAAAATCACAAAAATCGTTGCCCTCCTAATATTCGCCGTCGTTTGGCCTTGCCGCAATCTGGGTAATAAATTTTAGAAAATGTTGTTTCAAATTTTTTTGGAAATAGCACGCCATTTTCTAGCCCACTAATTTCTCGTGTTCATGGAAACCACTGATTTCTACGTATCTATTCAAACCCGGCGTAAAAAGTAATATTGAAAAATTGTGAACAAGAAAAATATGTTTCAAATAGTGGGCGTATTAAGAAGGCGTGCAAATAATTAAATTCCTTCATGGAATCTTTGATTCTCGGCTCGATTGCCATATTGAACATCGGGGAATACGATTTCAAAAATAGTGTTCCAAATTCTTCCAAAACAACCTTGAATTTAAGTTTGGTTAATCAAGTCATCGTCGTTCCGTACCCGCTTAAACATACCAATCTGGGGCGACAACCGCTGGGCGCACACTTTTTGGCAGAGGTGCAGGGAATAGAATTTGTTGTCGTTCCCGCCGCAGCCGTGGTAGAAGAACTTCTCACATTCACCAGAGTCCGAGTTGAACCAATACCTGCAAAAGAGAGGCCAGGCTAGCAGAGATCATTTGGGATGAGAGAGAGGGGGAGGGGGCAGGCTAGCAGAGATCATTTGGGATGAGAGAGAGGGGGAGGGGGCAGGCTAGCAGAGATCATTTGGGATGAGAGAGGGGGGGGGGGGCAGGCTAGCAGAGATCATTTGGGATGAGAGAGAGGGGGGGGGGGCAGGCTAGCAGAGATCATTTGGGATGAGAGAGAGGGGGAGGGGCAGGCTAGCAGAGATCATTTGGGATGAGAGAGAGGGGGAGGGGGAGACTAGCAGAGATCATTTGGGATTGGGCAGCGTTTTCGATTACTAGATCTATATTCTTGTATAGATCTTCTTAAGTTTTAGTGCAAAGATGTAAATGTAAATGCAAATAAATTTAAAATAAACTTAAATGTAATCAAAATCAGCAGAATTTCCATAAATTAACGGCGGCAAAGTTTCTATTATGTATTATGTACAAATTTCTGGACAACTCTAAGAAGCGGTGAAACATCTTTTTAACCAATTTTTTCTGGCTAGTGAGAAACTTTCAACACAGGTTTTTTTATCAAAAAAGTTATTTTATATCATTTACATTAAACTAAAATTTATTAATTTAGAAATGACGTATTTATATTTGCGTTATTTGCGTAGGGGACAGAACAGACGATTAAGGAATAACCATAGGGCCCGACACCGTGCCCTGTGTTGAAAGATTTTTTTGCCATTGACTTGAGTCGGCTGATTAAATTTTTCATACATTTATATTAATTGTGTTACTCGAATACTAAGTTCAATTACCAGTGAACAGACCTTTGTCTGTCTTAAATTAACGTTTATTATTAAAATTTCCATTTTATGCTATTTTTAGTATACAATTCTTATCCCCTAATTAAAAATCCCTTACCACCACTGTCCCTTCCGGTCGTCGGGACAATGGCCGTGGTCCACCTCGAGTAGGCATAAATCTGGAAATTCAAATTTATTTTGTATTTTTTTAATTTGGTTTTTCTACATAATATTTTACCGTGGATTCGAGCCAAAAACCAAAACTTCAAAATGGTTTTGGGTGAAACATTTAAATTTTTTAAAATTTTCGCCTGAAATTCCCAGAGAGATCACAATTTTTTGCTAATCAAATTTCGGAGCTTTTGCATTATCGGGGGGGGGGGCTATCTAAACTTTTCTAACACCTCGAGAAATACTTAGTAGTTGAAGGGCTAGTATTTTAATAGCATTTTTAGTAAAATTGGGCTAGATTCCGGCTAGAAAAGCTATTTCCAAAACTTAGAAAAATTTGACGTGTTTCGAAAATCGGCCATTTCTCTATTGAAAAATCAACATTTTTTCAATTTTTTTTTGAATAAAAGTGGTAAAGTTTATACGTTTAGGCAGTTTAAAAATGCGTTTCAGAACGCGCCCTTATTTGTATAAAAAAAAATTGGTTTCCACGGAAAGGTTGGGTCGCGTTCTGGAAAACGGCACATTGCTACTGGAAAAATTAAGGAAACTAGCAAATTTTCCAAAACATTTTTTTCGAGAGAAAATCGTGGTTTTGTATTATTTTTGTTTTTATCCATTTTCTGGCTTTCTTTGCTGAATTTTTCGGATCGGAGGAAGCCACGGATTACTGTGACGGAAAATAAGCATGTTTGCTATCTTGCCGAAACATATTTTTGCAACATCGACTTTTTGAAATCTTAAATTTTGTATTGCATTACCGGGCACGGCCACCGGGTTGAACAGCTTGTAGCGGCACATTTTCAGGCACTCCTGTTTTGTGGTAAATCTAAAAAAAATATAGGTTTTTGATAATTTTAAATTACCGGTTTTTCGTGCCCAGACACCCTCCATAGTGGAATTCTTTGCACTGACCGTCCGCCTCATCCCAGAACCATTTCATCTGAAAAACAGTGAATTTTCCTCAAAGAATCGCTGCTAGTTGGCCCTCTCTCTCGCTCTCTCTCGCTCTCTCTCTCGCCTTCTCTCTCTCTATCTCTCGCTCTCTATCTCTTTCTCTTACTTCTCTCCTCTCTCTCTCTCTCTCTCTCTCTCTCTCTCTCACTCTCGCTCTCTCTCTCTCACTCCATCCTTCTCTCTCAGTGTTAGCACGCTCGACCAGCTCTGAAGGAATTTCCCTAAATAATTTCAGCTCGATTGCCTTGAATTCTGAAACATGGCTTTTGCTAAAGAGCCCCTAGACGGTGTTCAAAAAGGAGCAAGTCCCAAATGATCTCAGCTAGCTTGCCATTCAAGAGCGGCAAATGATCACTGCTAGATCGCCGATGGGAGCCAGATATTTCCTCAATCGTCTCTGCTAGCCTGCCACAACCATCAGCACCAAATATTTTTCGTTTGCATGAAAAAGTGAAACCACATCCGCGCTAGAAATTGACGCAAATGAAATTGGCTGGACTTCTGTAATTTCTGAAACATCATTTTCCCAAGAAATCGCTGCTAGTCCGCGCTGCTTTTTGAATGCTAGATTAATCCACAACGTCAAACTGCTTAATTGCCCCCTACCGAACCCGGCTAGACTGCCTTTTTTCCGAAACATATAATTTTCTGCCAAAACAATCTCTGCTAGCCTGCCCCCTAAAAGTTATCGCTTCCGCCCTAAAATTATATTCCGCAAAACTTCATGCCTCATTACTTTGTTCAAGAAACATTTTGAAAAGCCTTTTTAAGAAACATTTTTCCACAATTATCGACCTGGAAATGTCGATATATTTTGGCGTTATGGATTCGATATTTCAGAATCGACATTTCGAAATTCGGTGTTCTAAATTTCAAAATTTTAAGATTTAGGCATTTTTGAATTCGGGGTTTTAGATTATCGACCTTTCGGGATTTCGGTTATTTTGCATTGCGCGTTATGCAATTTCAAATTCGAATTTCGGCATTTCATTCCGAGTTCTGGCACTGCAAGATTTTTGGATTTCGGCGTTTTGGCTTACGGTATTTTTAGATTCAATATTTTCGGTTTCGTTGTTATGGTAGGCAATCGATTTAATTCTAAGGTGCTATTTCGACAGCTGAACGCGTGTTATTCCCCAAGTAGACTCGGCTCGATTGCCGTGGTTCTAAGAAACATTTTTTTTTCGTGGAAGAATCTGCGAGGCAGCCTTCTGCTTAGAGCCAAAATTCATGTTTCCTAAGGAATCCCTTCTAGCCTCCCCCGCCCTCTAAAATTCTTCTTGTTATCTTATCGTATTAAATATCATATTAAATATATTCAATTTCAAAGATTAGCTGCAAATTATCAAACTACGTAGATCTATCTCTACCGTTGTTTGCATTCCTCAAGAATCTGTGCTAGTCTGCTTCTTCCCAACAATCCCTACCTGAAAAGTTTGACAAGGTCCCTGATCGACCGGCTCCAAACAGCGATCTTCTGAAAAAAAAATGTTTCTGAAAAAATAGCCACTAAATACGGAGCCCTTTTCTTAATTGTGACGTTGTTCAAGTCATTTAAAATCAACAAAAAAATAGAACAAAAAGAAATCTGATGTCTCATAAAGTTACCTGGAGTCTCGGCTCCGGTGTTTGCCAGTAGGAGTACAATCGAAACCAACAAAATGACCCATTTTTCAAGCATTTTTCAGCCTCGAAAAATCGACAATTCCTGGAATCCTGGAATACTGTTGCAGAATAGTTTTTTGGGCGAGTATTTCCACAGCTTGGCGCCCAAAAATGGGCCCCAAGCCATTTGTGGGGAGGGCCCATCGTTTAATTCGTAATGCATGCATGGATTGTCAGAAGGAGAAAATGGCGCCCGGGGCCATCTTCATGCATTTTTGGGGGCCCACCGGGGGCCCCCAAAAATGTCTCCAAATGGGGGGAATGATGAAAAAGGGGGCTTCCTAAATGATCTCTGCTAGCTTTTTTCTACGCTTTTTTAAATTCCATTTTCTTAAAGGATCATTCTCGTCATTCACTGCACTAAAACTTTCCTAAATTTATTTTCAGGCTTCCCGAAAAGAAAATTTGTGTTTCAGACAAATAGCTACTTGGTCAAATGGGTTAAAAATTAATGCGAGTCCATGTGGAAATCAGTCAATTTTTCAAAAATATTGACATAGTTTAATTAAATTCTTTTAGTCTTTAGTTCAGTTTTAGTTTTAATTTTTGGCTGATCGGTCCTAATTATTTAATTGCTATTGTTCGTAGTTTCAATCAAAATTTATATATTTTTTTTTGGTCAGGAATAGTCAAAAACAATATAAAAACCCGTCCGCTATTTATATTCTAAAAAATTGGATCCTAAGAACCAGTTTTTTGTCATCCCATGAATTCGAGAACAGCACAACTGAGAGGGGTCATCAACCCAAAGACATGTGAAGCTCTGAAGCGGCCATATGGCTGGGGGTTTTGCTTTCGAAAATTGCCCAAACGTTGTGCTTCTCTTTCTCTCTCTCTGCCTCTCTCTCTCTAGCTCTCTCTCTCTCTCTCTCTCTCTCTCTATCTCTCTCTTCTCTTCTCTTCTATCAGTCCCGCTCGACTTTGCATAGTCGGCTTTCTTGATATCAGCAAATTCGAAATGAAATAAGGAAAAATGCACACGCACATTTTGTCATTTTTATTCCCAATAAGAAAGCGTCGGCATGCACACGAGAAATGCGGACGAGCGCAAGAGGATACAGATGATGTGATACATGGTATGAGGGGAATGACCGGGGGGAATCATGAGTATATCGCTGATAGATAGGGTAGTCGGGCGTTTTTGGTGTGGCGGGCTTGCGGCTTGCTTTGGTGATCGCTTCTCGTTTCCTCTATCCGCGCTGATCTGAAAAAGGCTCAGTACGGGGTGTCCGAACCCCCCCCCCCCCATATCTAACGGCCCGCAGTCGTGTCCGATCGTCACGGTTTAGGTATCCATCGAAAGCTCCTGAAAAGGCGAGAAAACAAGCGGGTTTCGTTTTCTGCGGTTTAACCTAATTCTATCGATATTTAAGGTTTTTCTAGAAACTGGTACCTTTTTCAACAGGAATTTCGCAATTTAGCATGCGGATCTTGTATAAATCAGCAGTTTTCAAAGTTTTTGGACCTTAAATCGTCGAATAAAAAGACATAATAAAAAAATGAACCCTCCTTGTTGACTCGCCTTTTCGAGTGCTTTCGATAGATACCTAAATCGTGACGATCGAACACGACTGCGGACCTCTAGGTAGGGGTTTTTTTTTGGGACACCAACGGTAGGCGCAGTTCGAAGTTCGAATTTTGCCGGAATTTTATTTTGTCTAGTCAGCTTCGTGAAAAGTCGAAATTTTTCCATGTAAAGTCGAAAAAATCGGTTTTTCGAGCTCAACCCCGATTTTTGTCTAAAATTTGCGTAAAAGTTTTTATAGATAGCGGATGCTCCTCTAAGCAGTTTTTTTGGCTCTTTTAAGCATAAAAACTATACAAATTTTAATTAAAAAGTACAATTTTATGTCGAAAAATGGACTTTTTTTGGCCAAAATGGCGTTTTTCTTTCTTTTGTAACATTTTTTAAAAGGTTTTTCTATATCAGAGATCGACTGGTTCCCGTGATTCTTAAAGTAGCCATCTGGATGATGATGACTTACGGGTCATTGGATGGTAGTAGCCGTCCCGCATCCAGCCCTTTGCCAGCTTTTCGTCGAGTTCCTTTTGCGCTGAAACGATACTCGTATTTACTGTTGCCAATTGCACCATCTAACGCCAGAAAAAAAAACTACCTAAATACCTTCCTGATGGCTTTAGATACTTCCCCTAGCCGAAATCCCTTTAAAAAACTAAAATAACGACCGACCGGATACTTGGGAGAAAAAAGAAAATGAAATGACTTCGGTGAAAATTTTCATCCACGAAACGCGCGCCACCTGGCTCACTATGTCCAAAATCGCCCCACCTCCCTCCCCACCCCTTTTACTAAGGAAAAAACTTTCAAAGTTAGTTTTAACCAGGGTCGAAAAAACCGCTTCGCGGCCTTTCAACCCTGGCCCCGTCTAGGCCCTGTGAAAATCTTTAATTTGCATGCTTTTTCCCAAATTCCAGCACAAAAAAGAGAAGAGCGCGCCCTTTCTTCCTTTTCCTGAGCCACCTCCACTTCCGGTGTATGCTAATTGATTCCTAACAAAAAGGAAAGCCCAGAATTTTAGAAAAACCAAAAACGAAAACAAGATTTAGGCGGGGGGCACACTGCGTCTCTGCGCCCGCCTTGTCCTCTAGGCACCCACCCCCTCTGCCTATAGGCCCACTTTTTTTCCCCATTTTTTTGACCAGGACGTTACAGAAAACAGCTCATATCACGAAAATTAAAGGGCCTTGGCAGAACTTCAAAGTAGAACTTCGAGCTGGAGACGCCGTCCGGAAACGTACTCTGGATCTTCTCGTTGATGTTGACGAAGAAGACCGGGGTGATGGCGTTCTTTTCGGGGTCGACGAAGAGGATGGCGCCAAGGTTGTTCTGGAAATACATCGAAATGTTTCGGCGGTGCCAAAATAAGCGATTACCTCCTTGTAGCAAGATGACGAGAAGACGGTGGCAACCGGAAGATCGCGAAAACGTTGAACGCCGTTCATCATCACCTGGAGGCAAAGGTAGGAAAGGATCGGCCAGAACGAGGGTCGGTTTTTTCGCATTATCGGGGGGGGGGTAAACTAGAGTCTAGCCGACAAACCTGTTTGCCACGGATGATGAATTCGATGCCGAGCCTCTGCATCGCTTCCTTGATCGCCGTTCGGCCCAGGCGAGAGTACCGCGCGTCGTCGGTGTGGAGCTCGGAACTAGACCAGAGAATTCTTTCGCGACAATTCGCTAAAAAAATAACGCTCTAAACCTTTTGCTATTTGATTGCTAACTTGCTTGCATTTGACTGTAAAGTGTTTTTACTCAGGCTGGCGTTTTAGGATGGGACCAAGCCTATCCCGTGCAGAATTTTTTGCTGATTCCGAACCCCTTTTCCAAATTTGCTGCGGACTTCGCGTTGAAAAGTCATTTTTGGTCTAAATTAAGCTTAAAAACGGCATAAATTCGTATGCTGGCCCACTATTCCCTGTCTGGGTCCAGGTATTGTTGTGCCCCTTATCTACCCTCCCGAAGCCCCCCGCCAGTTGGCACCATGGTGCATTGGTAAGCTGTTCGCTTGCCAGGCACAGGGTGGCGGTTCGAACCCCGCCCTGCAAAATTTGTTTTGCTTTTTGCACAAAAAGACATGATTTTTTTGCATAAAATCGCGCTTTGACCTCTAAAACTGTAACCGAGCCAGTTTTAACGTCGGAGGTGAAGACAAATTAAAAAATAACGCAAAACATTCAGATATAGTCAATTTTTTTAGCCTAAATGTCGAATAACTTTTTAAATAAAGGTCGGCAGCAAATTTGGAAACCAGTTTCGGTATCAGCGAAAAATTCCGCACAAGACAGGCTTGGTCCCATTGTAAAAAGCCAGTCTGAGTAAAAACACTTTACAGTAAGCCAACCGGGCTGCCAGGAAAAAATGCTGGGGGAAAAAACTTACTAATCGACCAGATCTGAGGGGTCGTTGCACGTCAAACCCCTGCGCATGTGGATACGGAACTGATCTTCCGAGCCCCAGCCTTCGTCAAGATACGTTTTGTTGAGCTCAAAGGCTGAAAGTGACGGCTGCGTGACGGCACCATTACTTTCCCCCACACGCAGCTATCGATGTAAAGCGTACTTATCAGGCCGTGTACGCAGAGGATCCGTCCGTCGATCAGCCCCATCAGTGGCAGCTGAGCGAAGAGTTTGGTAAATTCCTCGATGACTTCCGGCGAGTAGCCACGACCAGCCAGGTGGTCTTGCAAAATGGTGCCAGTCTCAGCATCCAATTCGTGATTGCCAAGGATGATTGACACCTAGAAATCATGTTTTTCATGCTTTTTTTGTTTTGTTTTTTTCACTGTTTTTTATGCACAAAATGATGCTTTTTTGAAGTAAAAGTTTTTTAAGCTTTCTTTTCACTTTAAAGACCGCAAGAACGATCAAAATTTCGTTAAAAGCAAGAAGTTGCGCACCGGGCGGGGGTCGAACCCGCGATGGTCCGCTCCACAGTCCGACGCGCTAACCACTATACCACAGGTCAGAGTGGGGAAGGGAGTCACAGGCGTCCCAAAACCGAGAGGGCCTTTGCCCACTACGGGGCGCGACTAATGACGCCTCTCTCTGCGCGTTCTTGGGGGCATCACCCTCGGGGTGACAGTGCGCGTTCCATCGTTCTGGTAGTCTTTAAATATAGGTAAAACCACTACGACTCTTAAAATCTTGTAACAAATTTTTCAAGCAATTTTCGACATCAGAGACGACCATCGGCGCTTGCGTAAAAGAGTGTAAACGGTTGCTTGATACCTTGTCGGGCACGAGTACTTTGTAGGCCAAGATCAGCGTCAGGCATTCCAGCAGACGCGCGCCTGCACCAACGATATTGCCCAGGAAAATGATGCTGAAGAGGGTTTGCGTTGCGGAGGAGAACCCTTGAGCACCGACTTTTGCCCTGGCCCCTTTCCAACAGCATCCGACAGCCAAGCATGGATGATGTGCCAGAGGTCGTCGAACTAAAACGCTGGGTCCTGGACTGTTAGCGGGGGGGGGGGGGCGTAGCGAACAAAATTTTTCCCTGTGATTCGCTACAGCCCTATAACAAAAGATAAACCATTTTTAGAGCATGTTACATAGTTTCACATCTAAAAACAATATAAAAATTGGCGCGAATTTTTTGACGTTTTGGTGAAAAGTGGATCAAAAATGACGAAAAAGGTGAAAATTGTCGAATTTTCAAAATTAACAAAGGTTTTTTTTCTAACTTTTGAGCAATCAAAAAACTACTAAAAGCACCAAAAAAATACGTAATATATAGATCAATAGGTCGATGTATCCCCCCCCCCCCGCTAACAGTCCAGGACCAAAATCTGCTCGCTAGCCGACAAATGCCCACATTTCCATGGATGTCCCCGACGACAATGGTCCGGCCCTTCGGCCTGGCCACGCCCCGGGTTTTCTCGACAAGGGCAGCGACGTTCTGGCACAGACTCTTCAGATCATCGGCATCCGGGTTGTAACACGGCTGCAAGTTTGGTTCTTTCGCAAAATGAGGCGTGCCTGATGTTGCACGCGCTTTTTGCTGTCGACGGAATCCTTGGCGGGGTCTCTCAGGTAGTACTCGCTGCCCAACTCTTCGATAATCTTCAGCGACACGTCATGGGCACGCGGCAGAGGCTTGTCGGTGAACTCCTTGACGGCCTTCCTGGCCGGCTTGGTCGGCTGCTTCGACTTCCAGGCCTTCTGAAAAGTGGGTTGTTGAGGCAACTATGCCTTTACTAGCTGCACGCTTTATTTCCAAGGGGTTCTCGTTTTCTGAACGAATCGCCCTGGGAAAAAATTTTCACGTGCACAAGGCGTCGTCTCGCTAGCGGACCAGCACCCACCAACTTCTGGAGATCGATTCTCAGCGCAAATCCACGGTCTTCAAGCCGGTAGCGGCCTGCTTCACGGTTGACCGGGGCTGCCGTCCCTTGCGTCTAGAAAAGGGAATAACGTGGCGTGCTGGACTGCTAGCGGGGGGGGGCCGTTTTTTTTGCATTTTATCTAGGTTTTTTTCTTTTTTTCTTTTTTTTCGAACATTGTAGACTTGTTGGCCAAAATGTAGGAAAAATGACCAAAAACGTCAAATTTTCGCATTTTCAAAAACATGTACAACTTTCTAGAAATCAAAAACTACTAAAAACACTAGAAAAATACATAATATAAGATCAACAGGTGGCATAGGCGGAAAACAGAAAGTATTTTCCCACGCCCCCTGCTAAAAATCCCCCCGCCCGCTAATAGTCCAGAACCGATCGTGGCAGCGTCGATCAGCGAAACCGCCAATCGCTTTTTTTTGAAAATCACAACAGCCATGAAAACATTTTTCCGCCGCACAGAAAGACTTACGCCAGACCCAGGCCCCGTGCAACCCCCAGTTTACCATGTTCTTGAAATGGGCCTTGTGGCCGCCCTCGATCTTGGATGTGATGAGCTGGTAGCTGCCCTTGGAAAGGTTGATAACTTCGGACGGAGGCGTCTTCACGGCGGGATCGTCCGGCTCCGGCTTGGCAACGGCTGGGTCGGGCGAAGGAACCGTGGCCGGCGATTCGACCTTGGCGGGTGGTGGCTCGGCAACGCTTGACGTCGTCGGTGACTCGACTGCCACCTTCTCCAAATCCACCTCCCCCGCGCGCTTTTTCCTAAAGGGATGAGCGTGCATACAGGGTGTCCCAGCAAAAAAACACCCCCCTCTAACTTGACGCAGAAGTATCGGATCGGAATGACAGTTATACCATTCGAAAGCCCTTGAAACGGCCAGTTCGCAACGATCTTCAAAACCATGCTTTATTTCACGCGTCTTTTTACCAGCCATTTTTTAAATTTAGAAGAAAAAATCCTACTATGTATAAAAAAATAGTGTTTGTGTGTGTGTGCGCCACTTTGCATGCAACTTCCGTCAGGGTGTCCGGAGGATATTTCGAGAGGGGAAGTGTTTGAGGAGGTGTTTGATACGTCATTAGATGCGTAAGGAGCTGGAGATGGCTGCACACATAGCGGATTTTGTAAAATATGGTGTTTTCGACATTAAAATTAAGTTTTTCTTAAAAATCCCGACACCCACTTTGTTAGGATAAAATTAGCATACGCCGGAAGTGGCAGCAGCCTATCTAAACGCCCGAAGGGAACGTTTTTCATTTTTTGTCATTTGAATTGGGCACAATTATGCAAAACTATGAACATCATAGGGATAGGCGGAGCCAGGGTTGAAAAGTCGCGAAGCGGCTTTTCAACCCTGGTTCTTTTTTAATTTAGAAAACAGGCCTGCTATAGCGTGGACCGATTTCATAAAATTTGTAGGCCAATGTTTCTTTAAATAAAAACATGGTTTTGAAGAATTTTGCAAACTGGCCGTTTCAAGGGCTTTCGAATCGTGTAACTATCATTCCGATCTGATGCTTCTCCATCGAGTTCAAGGGGTGTGTTTTTGATTGGGAAACCGTGTAGACAGCCAAAGATTGCCCCACTTCTTTCTGATAATGCCGAATAGGACACCGCAACCGATCAGGACCACCACTCCGGCTCCTGCTGAACTTGGCCAAAAGTAAGATGGGCTAAGTAACGCACCAGCGGCAACCCAGATCACCATTTCACCGGCCAGAGGAGCCGTAGTGCCTCCGGGGGGTTGGGGGCTCGTGGCGGGTCCAGGGCGATGGGCGCAGATTCTCTGGAAGGGATTTGGGTTTTCTAGGAGTCGCGGGGAGAAACCAATTTCTTTCGGCCTAGGTCGAAACTTTTTTTTCTATAAATAGCGGATGCGTTTCTAAATTGTTCTTAGCTATTCATAAGCCTCAAAACTACGCGAATTTTAACGAAAAAAAATTGATCTTGGGTCGAAAAATTGATTTTCTTCCCCAACCTTTTCAAACATTTCTCTAATTTCTTGAATATTTTTCTACTTTAAATATAATTTAAACTTATTAAAAACACGTAAGAGCACTTTAGTTTTTGCTACTTGGCCAACCGGGACCGCCCGCAAAAAAATCGGTTTCGACATTTTTTCAAAATCCCAAAAAAATTTAGGAATTATTCGCGCAATTTTTACACGGTCAGCAACCAAACAAAATCATATCAAAATCAATAAAAAAAAAGCTACGGTGTCGTTGATCCCCTGGCACGGCGGCGGGGTGATGGCCAGTCCGCTCGTGTCGCCGTTGCGGAACCGCACGAAGATGTTCTTTGTGCAGTCCAGCAACTCGTCCAGCTCGACACGTTGCCGATCCGCTTCCTAAAAAGGGGTTGACTTACCGTAGATTCGAGATTTTGCTTTACGGCATTCGGTTTTGTCGCCGGTTACCTCCAATCCGGTCACGTCGATGCACCGTGGGTATTGAAGCTTGTTGGTGGCTTGGCGACGAAGGCGTCCGGTTTTCTCAGGTTTCAGCCCGGGCGGAAGTGTCTGGACAAAGGAGGAAAATTTAGAAAAAGTACCGTGGTTCTAGTTCGTTAGTGGGGGTGAGACCGATCGGAAGCCCGCCCCTCGCTAACGAACCAGAATCCGGGTCGATACCTCATTGGGAGGGGGCGGCCCGGCTTCGGTTCCGTTTGTTGTGGCCGAGGAAGGACCGGGATCATCCCAGGGCGCGAAAAATTTTTGAGAACTCCCAAAAGGACCGCCGCCAGGCGATTTCTGACTAGGGTTTAGACCAGCGCCGCGATAGCGGCGCCAATTTTTTCGTAATTGGAACGATAATTGTTGCGAAAATAATGAAAAAATCGTGATTTTTTTGTAATTTACCTGTGTTGTAAATTTGTTTTTGCTTCTTGTAATAAATATTTGTAATAAATATTGCGTTACTTGTTACCAACCGTGAAGCAGTCATAGGCAACTGAAGAAAAAATGGCAACTGAAGCAGAGGAAGATGTAGAAATTCTCTAAATTTATTCCTACAAAGCTACCTAAACTACAGACTACATCTGCGTTATATTCTTATTCTGAAAAATCCTGATGCAACACGAACCGATGCGTTGATGTGGTCAGCGACGTGAGCCGTTTCCAGTACATTATCGTACGGAGCAGATGGAACATCGAAAAATCTGAATTAAAAGTCCCAACTCTCCTTAACCAAATTATTGAAAGCTCTCAGATCAGCTTACGGGTTAGCCAAATTATGTAAGCGCTGTGTCTACTACAGACGCAAACTACAAAAATTTTCAAAGCCGTTTGCAGTATCGGCTCGTAGTTGCTGACCCTGAACCCAACGAAAATCCGTATACAAATCATATTTCGGTGCTCCTTTGTCGAATCGCTTCGAAACTTCTTTGGTAAGTCGGATTGGGTACCGTCTGCATTAGGTAAAAATTTTAAATCGATCCGAGCCATAGAAGATATAGCTTGGGACCAAACTTACCTTGGACATGACCCCTTTCCTCCCTTTAATATGGGCAAAAACAGTCAAAAAATCATATTTCGGTGCCCATTTGTCGAATCGCTTCGAAACTTCTTTGGTGGGTCGGATTAGGTACCGTCTGCATTCGGTAAAAATTTGAAATTGATCCGAGCCATTTAAAATATAGCTTGGGACCAGCGACTGCAAAACCAAATTTTTCATCTATTTTGGACATAAGGCCCTATTTTGGCCCTTTTGGCCCCCTTAACCCGGCTCGATCGAGATGAAACTTCGACGCAAGATAGCTCCAAGTATCTACTACCTGATACAAACATAAAATTGGAGAAAGTTTTTATTTCCAGGGAGCCTGGGACCGGCGAAAATCCATTATTTTGGACACAGAATCGAACCATTTTCCGTTTTTTTCCTCTTAACTCGGCAGTCATCCATTATTTTTCCTCGAGGCTTACGCGGGTGGTAGTCCTTTTTACCGCGATCATTTTCATATATAAATCAAAAAAATTGGCCGGCGCTCCGCGACGCCTGGGACCAAACTTATTTTGGACAGGGCGTTACCAAAGTTGATATTGAAGGGACCGTGGCAGTCGCTGGTTCTAAAGTATACCTTAAATGGCTCGGATGAATTTGAAATTTTTATACAATGTAGACCGTACATAGTCCACCTCACCAAGGAAGTTTCAAAGCAATTCGACAATGGAGCGCCAAGAACTGATTTTTTTACTGTTTTTGCCCATAGTAAATCGCGAAAAGGGGTCATGTCCAAAATAAGTTTGGTCCCAGGCGTCGCGGAGCGCCGGCCAATTTTTTTGATTTATATATGAAAATGATCGCGGTAAAAAGGACTACCACCCGCGTAAGCCTCGAGGAAAAATAATGGATGACTGCCGAGTTAAGAGGAAAAAACGGAAAATGGTTCGATTCTGTGTCCAAAATAATGGATTTTCGCCGGTCCCAGGCTCCCTGGAAATAAAAACTTTCTCCAATTTTATGTTTGTATCAGGTAGTAGATACTTGGAGCTATCTTGCGTCGAAGTTTCATCTCGATCGAGCCGGGTTAAGGGGGCCAAAAGGGCCAAAATAGGGCCTTATGTCCAAAATAGATGAAAAATTTGGTTTTGCAGTCGCTGGTCCCAAGCTATATTTTAAATGGCTCGGATCAATTTCAAATTTTTACCGAATGCAGACGGTACCTAATCCGACCCACCAAAGAAGTTTCGAAGCGATTCGACAAATGGGCACCGAAATATGATTTTTTGACTGTTTTTGCCCATATTAAAGGGAGGAAAGGGGTCATGTCCAAGGTAAGTTTGGTCCCAAGCTATATCTTCTATGGCTCGGATCGATTTAAAATTTTTACCTAATGCAGACGGTACCCAATCCGACTTACCAAAGAAGTTTCGAAGCGATTCGACAAAGGAGCACCGAAATATGATTTGTATACGGATTTTCGTTGGGTTCAGGGTCAGCAACTACGAGCCGATACTGCAAACGGCTTTGAAAATTTTTTGTAGTTTGCGTCTGTAGTAGACACAGCGCTTACATAATTTGGCTAACCCGTAAGCTGATCTGAGAGCTTTCAATAATTTGGTTAAGGAGAGTTGGGACTTTTAATTCAGATTTTTCGATGTTCCATCTGCTCCGTACGATAATGTACTGGAAACGGCTCACGTCGCTGACCACATCAACGCATCGGTTCGTGTTGCATCAGGATTTTTCAGAATAAGAATATAACGCAGATGTAGTCTGTAGTTTAGGTAGCTTTGTAGGAATAAATTTAGAGAATTTCTACATCTTCCTCTGCTTCAGTTGCCATTTTTTCTTCAGTTGCCTATGACTGCTTCACGGTTGGTAACAAGTAACGCAATATTTATTACAAATATTTATTACAAGAAGCAAAAACAAATTTACAACACAGGTAAATTACAAAAAAATCACATAGTCAACGGTAGATTCTTAAAAGATGCAATGGCGCCGAAGGCGCCGGAAAAAATTGCGATTTTACTAGTGCTTAGACCAGCGCCCCGACCCATTTTGGGACCAGCGCCCTCCAGTTTCTGTCCAAAAGGATCGCGCCCTGGATCATCCGCCGCGGGGCTCAACGTCGATGCTGGCTCCTCCTCGACGGCGCCGAGCATCAGCGTCTCCTCTTCGTCCATGAACACGGCGTACGGGCCCGACTGGAATTTTCGCCTCTTATCGGGCCGCCCCACCATTCATAATTTTGGGCCGCGGGGGGGGGGGGTAAGTAGTCTTACCCAAAATCGCAAAATAGCGATTTTCGGCTAAACCTTAGGTCTTAAAAAATTTAAGGGGGTTTTCCGGTTTTTGGTGCCAAAGTTCACATTCAAGCGGTTGATCTGGCAACCGAAAGCTGCAGGTTTTCCCGCCTCATACCGGGTGTCCCAAAAAAAATTCCCCCCCCCCTAGCCGGCCACAGAGGTGTCCTATTTTTACGATTTAGGTATCTATCGAAAGCTCTCGCAAAGGCGAGTCCAGCACGTCTTGCCAATTTTCAAAATCTCGAAATTTTTTGCTCGTTTTCCAGCATTTTTCATGCAAAAAGGACACGCTTTTTTAACCAAAACGCAATTTAACCGGGTTTAAGCGCTATCCAAGCTCTGTTCTTGCGAAGGGCTTGCAAAAAGCCGTCGTTGGGCTGCCAGGAAAGGCACTAAAAATTTTAAATTGTGATTTTTGTAAAAAAAGCGGAGGTCAGAAAATCATCAGAAAATCCGCCCGTATTGCAAAAACATTAGTAAATGACAGAAAAATTTCGAGATTTCGAAAATTGGCAAGACGTGCTGGACTCGCCTTTCCGAGTGCTTTCGATAGGTACCTAAATCGTAAAAATCGGATAGGTCTACGGCCGGCTAGGGGGGGTTTGGGACACCTTGTAGAGGGCGGCGGACAGATACCTAAACCTGGACGTATCGGCTACCTAATTCCCCGCGAGCGTGGCTGCTCTTTTGTGGACGCCCGAGAGTAACCCACCAGAGCACGACGTGCTGTAAAGTAGGGGATCGTGCCGCCGGGATTCGAGATATCTAGGTAAACACATCCCTCTTGCGTCGCGCCATATCGATAATCACATTCGTTGTCACAGTCCGATGCCTCGATAACCTCCTGTGTCATCGAATCTCTAAAAAAAAGAGAGCGCATGCTCGCGTTTGCCGCCTGAGCCTACGGGCTTGTGCCATCCTTTTTGCAGATTGGCAGTGGCTCACAGGTATCACCTGGCGGTCGTCCTCCCTTGCCGCAGTACTGAATGTGGCATCGCTACATGCGAATGGCTAGCAACCGTGGGCAAATCGGCATAACCTCGAATTACAGAACCACGAATGGTCACAACACCGAATTTAAAAATTCTCGAGTGGGCCGTGAACTTGCAAGGAATTCTGAGCATCAAAATTTGGTAAATTTTGGTTCGGCATTCGGTCTGAGGGTCTGGACGGTAAGCGGTGGAACCAAATCTTTCCCCGGGGATTCTCTACGCCCCCATAACAAAATAAAAAATGATTTTTATAGCATTTTTGATGGTTTTTAGATCTAAACAAGATATAAAAAATAATCTAAGTAAAAAAATAATATAAAATTTAGAATTTTGCCCGAAATTCTGATCGGAAAGCCAACCTTGAAGTTCAGTGGATCGTGCACATCATAGGGGTAGTTGGTGAACGGAGATGGATCATCAGTGGCGTACCCGGCGGCAATGTGCAGACTCGGGACACAAGTCTTTAGCGGCGGATCTCGTGCCGTGCCATGTTTGGTGATGGCGTCGAGCACGATCCTGGAAATGGCACCACAGCTATTGTTTGCGAACCGGCTGTTGCGGATGATCGGGGGTGCCGGAAGATTAGATAGGAAAAACCAAACCGATCCTTACAACGAGTGATCCTTACTTTTCTCGTTTATCCTACTACCAGGGTTGAAAAGCCGCTTCGCGACTTTTCAACCCTGGCCCCGTCCAATCCCATGATATTCCCCCTTTGCATAATTCGGCCAAATTCTATGAAAAATAATGAAAATTGCACCCTTTCCGCCGTTATATAGACTGCCGCCACTTCCGGCTTATGCTAATTAATTCCTAACAAAGAGGCTGCCCGATTTTTTAACAAAAATCGATTTTTAATGTCGAAAATAGCATAATTTGTAAAATCTGATATGGGTGCAGTCATCTCGGCTTCATTTCGCACCTAATGGCGTATCATACATAGCCTAATACCCTTTCCCCCTTGAGATATCCTCCGGACACCCTGACGGAAGTTGCATGCAAAGTGGCACACACACACACACACACACACACACAAACAGTATTTTTTTATATATCCTACTATATATAAAAAAAATAGTGTGTGTGTGTGTGTGTGCATTTGCATGCAACTTCCGTCCGTATGTTCCAGTCGTATCCCAATAGGGGAGGAAGTTAAGGGTACGTACGATACGTCATTAGGTGCGTAATGTTCATGACACGACTGCACGCATATGAGATTTTTAAAAATCTGTTGTTTTCGATATTAAAATTAAGTTTTTGTGAAAATCTCGCTCGGCCTCTTTGTTAGGAATCAATTAGCATGCACCGGAAGTGGGGGAAGCCTATATAATGGGCGAGAGGATGCGCTTTTCATTTTTCTGCACAGGAATTCAGGTGTTTATGCAAAGTGATGAAGTATGGGGGTAAGACGGGGGCCAGGGTTGAAAAGTCGCGAAGCGGCTTTTCAACCCTGGTATATACAAAAAAATGAGTCCTTTCCGATAATGCGTAAGAACCACTTCAACAAAAAACCAACAAACAACAACAAAAGAACCAACTCGGGAATCACGAAACCAGCGTCGCATTGGGCCAGGTATTTGTTTGTCACATGTTGTCCGTTTCTCGCATACGCAGCCGTAGTCCTGTATTGCTCGTCCGATGCGAAACAACAACAAAGAACGGTGTTACCATGCGGTTCCTGGGCACCGGTCGGCTGCTATCATTTCTCGGGTGCATAGGTTGAAGGGGAAGAGCACTTTATCTATGTGCAAAAATGGGGGACCGAAGCGGCCAAACAACCTTTGCCGTCATTGATCGTGGCCGCCCGGATGCAATCTGGCGCACCGGAGGCTTCGTCTGCGTCGGTTGCCTATGAAATATGGTCAACTTTCAGAATCTCTAAAAATCAGAATCTCTAAATTTCGGAATCTCTAAATTTCGGAACCTTTAAATTTCTTTGTTCAGAAACAAACAGACAACAACAACAGATTTTGGCGCCAATTGCAACTGTACCGCGCTTTTACCCAGAGTCGCCTCGGAAAACTTTTTCTGGAGTAGTTTTTTGCGCTGATCACGAAAAACGTAACCACGCATTTGTGAAACCCATTTTTCAGTTGAGGCCCGGTTATCATTCTTTCGATCGGGGCCTACGCCTCAAGGGGGTCAAAGCGCGGCCGCGCACGCAAGTGATCCGAACATGGCCATAAATGGCGGTGTTACGGATCCCTAGCGCCATTTATGCCGTGCTTGGTTACAACTGTTGGCTAAAAGCCCAAAAGGTATTTTTGATATAGGAAAGGAATTGGTATCATAATGTCGAAACTCATAATGTCGAAATTCATAATGTCGAAAATCATAATGTCGAAATTTCATAATGTCGAAATTTACACAGGCTAATATTACCGGTGAAACCGCCAAATCCTAGCCAAAAAAAATTTTCCACATTCTATTTTTTTATCTTATTTCACGACAAAATTTTTTTGTCTAGAATTCGGGGACTTTACCGGGAATTTTAGCTTATGTAAATTTCGACATTCTGACATTTCGACATTCCGACATTTCGACATTATGAAATTTCGACATTATGAATTTCGACATTATGAAATTTCGACATTATGAATTTCGACATTATGAGTTTCGACATTATGAATTTCGACATTTTGAAAATAAGCCATAGGGAAGTCATTCTAATATTTGGTGCTGTTCTATTTCGCGGGGGGAAAACTGTGCGGGTGGGGGGAATATGCTTGGCGGAACCTTCCATCTTTTCGCTATTTTCTCGAGATTTTTGCAACGCTATTCGATAGAGCATCAAAAAAATTTTCTCCTTTTCGACATTTTCGATAACTTTCAAAAATTTCTTTAATGCCATTCGTTAGTGTCAAAAATCATACTAAGAGTTTTAATTACAATTCAAAATAGCGTCATATAAAAGAGTTATAACAAAACGAAGAAAATTTCCCCCCCGCACAGTTTTTCCCCCACGCGAAATAGAACAGTACCAATTGTTATTTGTTATTTTTCTTCTAAAAAAAATATATGGAAATGGAGTATTCGACGAGGGGAACATTTTGAGATACTTAACGCATTAATTGGACAACTTGGGGGCGAATGCTGGCTGGGGTGGGGGGGGGGGGGGTAAACTAGACTTTAGACCATTGTAGCACCCATCTGCTATTTATATAAAAAACCAGCGCCCAAAACCCGCTTCGCGGGCCTTGGGCGCTGCAATCAGGCCTTTGCATGAGAAATTTGACTTTACGGTTGCTCGAGTCCTTGGGACCCTCCCCTCCCCCGGCCAAATTCGCGAGTGCAACTGGCAAGAATGAGGAAATTTCTATTTTTCCACATTATGCAAATTAGCTCTCCGACGCCCCAAAATTTAGTAAAACCGGCTTTAACTTTGTAAACTTGTATTTTATCGCGATTCGGAAAACGCCATTGGAAAGAGGAGGGTCGATTACCCCAGGTAACGGAGAATTGGGGCGTTTTGAACACGCGAAAGCCCTCAAATCGGGCCTCGAAAGTGCCAGCCGGACACACACACACACACACAGAGATACACCCCAAAATTATATAAGGTAGGATTAGGCTTGGGCCGAAAATAGTTCGTTCCCCCTCCCGCAAAAGCCTCGAGAACCCTGGAATCGGCTGTCGGTTTGACCTACACAAAATTTCGGTCGACATGGGCTCATCATGAGCAGCCTCGGGTTGCCGGCCTTTCCCGTCGCATCTGCACCGCATAGCCGCACCGGACACTCGTGAGGACAAAGGGATTTCAACCATCCCGGCATCCCAACTCCCTCATCTGCTGGATGTTGGTGTTCGTGGGCGTAGCACAGGAATGGGCGCAGGTCACACTCAGGCTGGCAATTTGCAAGTAGACACAGACATCGTTTGTTTGGAATTTTTCGGTGGTTCCCAATCTGCTTTCAAAAATTCCGGAATGACGTTATTTAAACGGCCGTTTGCCAGAGACCCGAGAACAAGCGTTGTCACAGTTTTTTTCGACCCCGTTTTTTTTGATGCCATTTGAAAGAGCGTAGTTGAATTAGTAGGGCTGCGCTTTTCGGGATTTTTAAAAGTTCATTTTCTAGGTTTAAATGGGTGTTAAAGTTGAGAACCTTCGAAAATTATCTCGCGAACCACTGAACCAAATTGTTCGAAAATTTTAGACAATACCTAATTTGGCGCGCTGACCATTTCTGTAATACATTGTAAGGCACGAAAATAGCCGGAACATAGGAATACCGCGTACATAGAAAGGTTTTTCGCCATTTTCTATTTAATGGGTATGCGTCGTCACTCTAGAAATACCCTTAAAAATGCGCAAAAAAACCTGTATTTCTAAGCGTGGCGACAGATACCCATTAAATCGAAAAATCGCCTTTAGTGACGCCGAACAGAAAAAAAATTGATGTAATCAAATATCAAGTGTTTGCACATTGCAAGATTTTAGCCTATTTCAATCGGAAAAACTTTTTAAAAAGTTAGAAAAAACTCTTGAAAAGGACGAAAATGTGGTCATTTTGGGCCGAAAAAATTGATGTTTCGACCCAAAATTACATTTTTTACTTGAATTTTGTAAAGTTGGTATGCTTAGGAATAGCTATAAACAATTTAGAAACACTTTCACACACTATATAAAAATTCTAGGCTTGGGCCAAAAACCCAATGTCGGCTTTTTGCAAGGCATTTGCGAAAATACAGCTTGAATGGGGCTGAAACCGATTAAATTGAGTTTTTGCAAAAAATTGCGTCATTTATGCCCAAAAACGACGAAAAGCGTGTTCCGTTTTTCTTATTTATTATTAATTATTATTGGTTTTTAAGTAGTGCTGCGGATCCGCCCCACGGCAGCTACGCTCACCTTTTTAAATCCGTTATCGCGGCGGATTCGAGTGTGGCTACCGGCGAAGAGGGTGGGCGACGGCTCCGTGTCGTCGGAGGTGCCGTTGCGTGTTTGGAGCATATCGTCATGCCTACAAGCCCAGTTTTATGGCTCAACCGGTTCTGGGCTGTTAGCGGGGGATCTTTAGCAAGGGGGGGGAACCACTTTTTGTTTTTTTTTCACCTAGCTGCTGATGCTCAACAGTGTATTTTTACAGCGTTTTAGTAGTTTTTGATTGTCAGAAAGTCATAAAAAATCCTTTTTAATTTGAAGATTCGAAAATGTTGACCGTTTTTGCTATTGTCCATAATTTTTCACCAAAAACCACAAATTTTGGGAAATTTTTATGATCTTTATGGCTAAAAACTAAGTAAATAGCTTCGACAATGAGTCATATTTTGTTATAGGGCCTTAGAAAATCACTGGGAAGGAAGAATTTGGTTCCCCCCCGCTAACAGCCCAGAACCGTTCAAAGAGTAAAAACCGCTTACGCATTGGCCCCGGTGTTGGCCATGGTGAAGAAGACGATGGTGAGCAAGTAGAGCATCCGCACCGCGCCATCCGCTTCCAGCGCCGTTCGATGACGAGGCCTCATCGATGAGCGCGTAGGGGAAGCCGAAATTCTTCCTTGGACTGACAAATGCAATCACGGCGTCCGGGATAGCGTCCTTTTACGCTAATTTTAGATGCAAATTTGCGGATTCTGACAGTGAAACACAGGTAAGAGTTTACTTTACCCCCCCCCCCCCCCCCCACAGCCGAAGGGTCTCAAAGTTGTCGGTATTTTCGCTTATTTTGTCGGGATTTTTGCAACGCCATTCGATAGAGCGTCGAAAAATATACTAAGAGTTTTAATTTGAGCCTACAACAATGTAAAATAAAAAAGTTATAGCCAAAAACTTCCGGCAGGGGGGTAAAGTAAACCGTAGCCGAAACACAGACCACATTGAAATGGGGGTTCTGGACAGTTAGCGAGGGGGACAACTTTCTTTTTCCACCCCTACCTGTGTATTTTTATTGTTTTAGTTTTTGATTGCCAGAACGACATAAAAGAATATTTTTAAAAGCTCGAAAATTTTGTATGATTTTTATATCTAAAAAATTATGATGCTATAAAAATGGTTTAGATTTATAGGGCCGTAAAGAATCGTTGGAAAAATTTTGTTAATTATCGTAATTCATAATCGCTAAAACTGCCCCTATAAATTTACGGATTTTTTAAATCGGCCATTTTTCGACTTTTGGAGTTTTTTTAGCTTCGATTTTGTGTAAAATTTCGCAGGAACTCGTAGCTAAGCTTTGCAAGAGATTTTGCTGGTTTGTCTTGATTCCCTAATGCTCTCCGCTAGCACGCCCTGTCCAAACGCTTGAAAAATAGCAAAATTAATGTTTCAGAAACCTTTCTAGCTCGCCCATTTTGTCAAAAATCACTGTTGTGTCTTCTACTCAGCATCATATAAAAAAAGTTATCATTTTGTTTAGCATTTCTCAATTTCCGTGAGACTCTCCGCTAGCTTGCTCAAAAAATTCTCAAAAAGTTGCTCGGTTCGGCAAAATGTTTCAAAAATATCCAAATTTTTAGCGCGATTTTTGCAGAATAATTAGATGCATAAATAAATAAAGAACTAAGCCTCTTGCTTTGCATTAAATCAACCAAATATAATAACCCATATTTATTCAGAGCCGAATGCCGCGGATTCCACGCAAATGCTGTGTACAGTGAGAGCAAAAAAGGAGCACAAATAAAACACTAAAAACAGGCGAAAGAAGAGGACAATTATTGCGTAAAAGATCAAGAGGAAAAGAAAAGTCGATAATTTATTTTAGAAAAAGCAAGTAAAGCTGCACAAGTGAGGCAACGGGGGGGAGAAAGAAGTCTTAAAAAATTCACCACAGAATGATGATGTACTTGCAGCGCGTGATGAGCGTCTCCTTGCAGCGGCCGAGGTGGCGCAACGACTGCATCCCGTACTTCATCGCCAGTTTGGCCTGAAAAAAAAACAAAATAAATATTTCTCAAGAAATCATCTCCCTCTCTCTCGTCCCAAATGATCTCTGCTAGCCTGCCCCCTCCCCCACTCTCTCTCATCCCAAATGATCTCTGCTAGCCTGCCCCCTCCCCTCTCTCTCATCCCAAATGATCTCTGCTAGCCTGCCCCCTCCCCCTCTCTCTCATCCCAAATGATCTCTGCTAGCCTGCCCCCTCCCCCTCTCTCTCTCATCCCAAATGATCTCTGCTAGTCTGCCCCCTCCCCCACTCTCTCTCATCCCAAATGATCTCTGCTAGCCTGCCCCTCCCCTCTCTCTCTCATCCCAAATGATCTCTGCTAGCCTGCCCCCTCCCCCCTCTCTCTCTCGTCCCAAATGATCTCTGCTAGCCTGCCCCCTCCCCCTCTCTCTCTCATCCCAAATGATCTCTGCTAGCCTGCCCCCCCCCTCTCTCTCATCCCAAATGATCTCTGCTAGCCTGCCCCCTCCCCCTCTCTCTCTCTCTCATCCCAAATGATCTCTGCTAGCCTGCCCCTCCCCCCCTCTCTCTCGTCCCAAATGATCTCTGCTAGCCTGCCCCCTCCCCCTCTCTCTCTCTCATCCCAAATGATCTCTGCTAGCCTGCCCCCTCCCCCTCTCTCTCTCTCTCATCCCAAATGATCTCTGCTAGCCTGCCCCCTCCCCTCTCTCTCATCCCAAATGATCTCTGCTAGCCTGCCCCCTCCCCCCCTCTCTCTCATCCCAAATGATCTCTGCTAGCCTGCCCCCTCCCCCCTCTCTCTCTCATCCCAAATGATCTCTGCTAGTCTGCCCCCTCCCCCACTCTCTCTCATCCCAAATGATCTCTGCTAGCCTGCCCCCTCCCCCCCTCTCTCTCATCCCAAATGATCTCTGCTAGCCTGCCCCTCCCCCTCTCTCTCTCGTCCCAAATGATCTCTGCTAGCCTGCCCCCTCCCCCTCTCTCTCTCATCCCAAATGATCTCTGCTAGCCTGCCCCCCCTCTCTCTCATCCCAAATGATCTCTGCTAGCCTGCCCCCTCCTCTCTCTCTCTCTCATCCCAAATGATCTCTGCTAGCCTGCCCCCCCCCCTCTCTCTCTCGTCCCAAATGATCTCTGCTAGCCTGCCCCCTCCCCCCTCTCTCTCTCTCATCCCAAATGATCTCTGCTAGCCTGCCCCTCCCCCTCTCTCTCTCTCATCCCAAATGATCTCTGCTAGCCTGCCCCCTCCCCCTCTCTCTCTCATCCCAAATGATCTCTGCTAGCCTGCCCCCCCCCTCTCTCTCATCCCAAATGATCTCTGCTAGCCTGCCCCCCTCCCCCTCTCTCTCTCTCTCATCCCAAATGATCTCTGCTAGCCTGCCCCCCCTCTCTCTCTCATCCCAAATGATCTCTGCTAGCCTGCCCCCTCCCCCCCTCTCTCTCTCATCCCAAATGATCTCTGCTAGCCTGCCCCCCCCCCTCTCTCTCGTCCCAAATGATCTCTGCTAGCCTGCCCCCCCCCCTCTCTCTCTCGTCCCAAATGATCTCTGCTAGCCTGCCCCCTCCCCCTCTCTCTCTCGTCCCAAATGATCTCTGCTAGCCTGCCCCCTCCCCCTCTCTCTCTCATCCCAAATGATCTCTGCTAGCCTGCCCCCCCCCTCTCTCTCTCATCCCAAATGATCTCTGCTAGCCTGCGCCCTCCCCCACTCTCTCTCATCCCAAATGATCTCTGCTAGCCTGCCCCTCCCCCTCTCTCTCATCCCAAATGATCTCTGCTAGCCTGCCCCCTCCCCCTCTCTCTCTCGTCCCAAATGATCTCTGCTAGCCTGCCCCCTCCCCCTCTCTCTCTCTCATCCCAAATGATCTCTGCTAGCCTGCCCCCTCCCCTCTCTCTCTCTCATCCCAAATGATCTCTGCTAGCCTGCCCCCTCCCCCTCTCTCTCTCGTCCCAAATGATCTCTGCTAGCCTGCCCCCTCCCCCCTCTCTCTCTCATCCCAAATGATCTCTGCTAGCCTGCCCCCTCCCCTCTCTCTCTCTCATCCCAAATGATCTCTGCTAGCCTGCCCCTCCCCCTCCTCTCTCTCTCTCATCCCAAATGATCTCTGCTAGCCTGCCCCCTCCCCCTCTCTCTCTCGTCCCAAATGATCTCTGCTAGCCTGCCCCCTCCCCCCTCTCTCTCTCATCCCAAATGATCTCTGCTAGCCTGCCCCCCCCCCCCCTCTCTCTCTCATCCCAAATGATCTCTGCTAGCCTGCCCCCTCCCCTCTCTCTCATCCCAAATGATCTCTGCTAGCCTGCCCCCCCCCCTCTCTCTCTCATCCCAAATGATCTCTGCTAGCCTGCCCCTCCCCTCTCTCTCTCTCTCATCCCAAATGATCTCTGCTAGCCTGCGCCCTCCCCCACTCTCTCTCATCCCAAATGATCTCTGCTAGCCTGCCCTCCCCCTCTCTCTCATCCCAAATGATCTCTGCTAGCCTGCCCCCCCCCCCTCTCTCTCTCGTCCCAAATGATCTCTGCTAGCCTGCCCCCCCCCCCCCTCTCTCTCTCATCCCAAATGATCTCTGCTAGCCTGCCCCTCCCCTCTCTCTCTCGTCCCAAATGATCTCTGCTAGCCTGCCCCCCCCCCCCTCTCTCTCATCCCAAATGATCTCTGCTAGCCTGCCCCCCCCCCTCTCTCTCATCCCAAATGATCTCTGCTAGCCTGCGCCCTCCCCCACTCTCTCTCATCCCAAATGATCTCTGCTAGCCTGCCCCTCCCCCTCTCTCTCATCCCAAATGATCTCTGCTAGCCTGCCCCCCCCCCTCTCTCTCTCATCCCAAATGATCTCTGCTAGCCTGCCCCTCCCCCCTCTCTCTCTCATCCCAAATGATCTCTGCTAGTCTGCCCCCTCCCCACTCTCTCTCATCCCAAATGATCTCTGCTAGCCTGCCCTCCCCCCTCTCTCTCTCATCCCAAATGATCTCTGCTAGCCTGCCCCCCCCCTCTCTCTCTCGTCCCAAATGATCTCTGCTAGCCTGCCCCTCCCCCCCTCTCTCTCATCCCAAATGATCTCTGCTAGCCTGCCCCCCCTCTCTCTCATCCCAAATGATCTCTGCTAGCCTGCCCCCTCCCCCCTCTCTCTCTCTCTCATCCCAAATGATCTCTGCTAGCCTGCCCCCCCCCTCTCTCTCTCGTCCCAAATGATCTCTGCTAGCCTGCCCCCTCCCCCTCTCTCTCTCTCATCCCAAATGATCTCTGCTAGCCTGCCCCCCCCCCCTCTCTCTCTCTCATCCCAAATGATCTCTGCTAGCCTGCCCCTCCCCTCTCTCTCATCCCAAATGATCTCTGCTAGCCTGCCCCTCCCCCTCTCTCTCATCCCAAATGATCTCTGCTAGCCTGCCCCCTCCCCTCTCTCTCTCATCCCAAATGATCTCTGCTAGTCTGCCCCCTCCCCCTCTCTCTCTCTCATCCCAAATGATCTCTGCTAGCCTGCCCCCCCCCCTCTCTCTCTCGTCCCAAATGATCTCTGCTAGCCTGCCCCCCCCCCCTCTCTCTCATCCCAAA